AAACTTTGTTGCTCAACACAAGTGTTTGTTCTGCCACTAAAAGGCTCAGTGGGCCCTCCTGCTCAGCCAAATCGCCCCAAAGAAACACATTTGAAATGGTTTCCATGGATAAATCTGAATGACATTACAAGGTCTGAATTTAATTTAAGAACTGTGCCACGCCAACCATGTGTACACCTCTATACCAGGGCTGCGGAGTAAAAGGGAAGTGTCTGAAGATAGTTATCTCTTCTCACTGCAGATATGAGATGTCTGGGAGAGGAAGCCGTCTTTGTTTAAACTCAAAGATCAAAGTCAAACAATTAGTTCTCTATGCACAATTAAGTACATTAAAGGAAATGTCCAACAATATAAGTGAGTTATCATCACAAACTATGACAGTCAAATGAGTCACTGACGTTTTCACGGCTGGCTCTGACTGCAGCTGAGATTGTAACCGTTAGTAACCAGAGAGATTGTGTTTAGGTCGAGCTTCTGTCTCGCTGCTTGTTGATGCAACTGCTTGAGGGGAATTCCAGCATGACGCAGCCCAGTCGACCCACAGAGGAGTGGGCCCGACCTGCAGATTCCTCAGAGGGCCACAGCAGGGGAGGATGTTATCTTTACACGCCTGTATCTAAGCCTAAAGCCAGGGGGGGAAGGGCCAGGTCAGCTGCTCCATAGTCACATGACCCTATGGGCCCCACACAGGGATTGGTATTGGGGTGCACCATGATGCCCTCGAGGTTTCACAGACAGACGTGGAGATCATATCACTGCTGTCTGGCACATCAAAAAGCACATTTTGATGACAGCATCAGAAAATATGGATATAAAGTGAGCTGCCCTCTGTCACTGATCCACATCTATGCTGGTTGTCTGTGTGTGTTTTAGAGATATAAGCGTATCCTCCGCATCAGGTGCAAGCATGCTCTGTAGGGTGAGTTACACATGATTACCTTCCTGTGCATGTGGGCTCACCAAGCGTCAGAGTGAGTCAAGGTACACTTCCTGTCTCAGATACCTGTGTGCTGTTAGTCACTTTTTTTTATAATGTACATATCACTGTTGAAATGACATTTTTCTAAAGTAAAATGAATCACAAGCAGGTGTTTTCCAAAAAGAAAATGGTAAAAAAAGGATTATATTTGGGTTTTTTAAGAGCTACATTTCATTGGATGTTTATCCTAACCAAAATTCCACTTTGGATGCTCACTGCAGACGATGCAGTACACTCCCACCCCTCCTCAAACCACAATTCTCTGGACAGTTTCATATTTGTAAAACACATTCTTGTTTACTATATCACACTCTGTTTTTATGGCCCTCAAATGGCCAGAAGCAACTTCGCATTCTGCCCAATCAAAGTCTGCAGGAACAGGAGTAGACATTTTATTGTTCAATGCAAATGCAATTTGATGGACTATCCATTGAGCTACATTAAGATTACAGGCTACACTGATAATGACTAACTTGATATATAGCAGCGTTGCTTCAGATTGAGTTGACTGATTTGCTCCTCAGTCTTTAGCAGTTAATGCGGGTCAAGATGTGTCCATGTTGTCTCTAAAGCGCCTGCTACAATCGGATGAGCCTGGCAGCTTATCTGTGATGTTTACAGGAGAAATCACTTCTAAATCGCTGCAGCCGATTCGTCACTTGGTGCCCTCACACTGTATGTAGACGCTTGGGCGGTTTCTTTGAATGTAACACGAAGTGCCCCATTGTTGTCCCATTGTCTCTCCCAGCTTGTTCTCCTTTATGAAACTCAAGCCAGCTCTTATTACAGCTGTCCCACACAAGGCGTGGACAGTCCCTGACCACACTGTAATACTTGAGGAATGCATATCTTTTGTTTGCCTTTTGTCAACCCTGTGTCACTGCAGGTGGATAGTGTGGGGTCAGATATCTTTGTATGTGTGTGTGTGAGGGTTTTTAACTCCCCCAGGCAGCACAGCTGAGTGTAGGAGGGGCCATGTCCTCCGTCTGTGTGTGAGTCCACTGCTTTCAGTCAGACAGAGCAGTCTGAGAAGGGAGGGTGTGTGAGTCTGTGAGGAGAAATGCAAACTCGATCGCTAGGATTTTCTCCATCGGATATGCTGGCTGCTCACTTGTCTTTGGGATCTAGCTCGGAGATATCTTTCCACAGCTGTTGACAATGCAAGGAAGGGCTAATAAATCTCCAAAGAAGGAGTTGGTCATTGAGAGTCCGCAGCAGTACAAGAGCTTGGCTGCAGCTGAGACTGAGGTAGACTCGGTGCCACAGGTGGTGGTAAGTCATTGAAAGACCTTTCATTTAAAAACATGAGACCTTTTTGATTTATTTAAAAAAGCTTTTTATGATCTGTAAGGACATTGTTTAGAGTGCATCGCTCCAAAGGTTAACCACAGTCATAAAGTCCCAAAGCAGGTGTCATGTGAACGTCTACTTAAAATTTCTTTCATTTGCACTTACTATCAGAAAGTGCAACGTTAGCACCAGCATAGAGGAATGTTGAACTTCACCAACACCTGGAGGCAACCAGCTTCCTCAAGTTTATTTTTTAAGATAACCTTGGCTTGTAAAACATCTTTATTTGGATCAAAAGTCAACTCTGACAACAGTGTTAACTTCCTCCCCTGTGAACAAGGTGTCCTAGTGTTAAATCTGCAGGGCCATGTGAAGAAGACAGTAGCAACGAGATTGAATGTATCAGTGAGTGGAGAGGCACTACACAGCACCATTGTTCATGGAAGTGAGGGTGCAGTGATGGGAAGAGTGGTGCTGCAGCTAAACAGCTGCTGGATCACTGTAGAGAGATAACTTCAGACGTTTCTGTTTTATGGGCTTTCCAAACACGACTGTCTGTTCACTTAACTGTACAGATGTGAAACATACAGCTTGCATTGTTCTGGACTTATTTTACCATTAACTGTGTTCAAAATAGTTTATGGTGTATTATAAAGACACTAGAAACAGGACTATTGTCAGTTTCAGATACATGGACTCAACAAGTATTCTTAATAAGCCTATTCTGAGGTATGACAACAAAAGTGTTTCACAAGGGTCATGTTGTTTTTGTGGGAATGACAGAGCAGTTGCTTACATGGCACTGTATGTTTGTTAATTCTCTTGCTCAGTGCTGAGTGTACTGTGTGGTTTACCACCTTCACTGACCACTGACAGTGTGGGAGAGCCCAGTGGGGTTTGGAGTGAAACAATAGTCAGCAACAACAGCGTGAGGTCAGGAATCACTGGTGAGAAAATGGCACTATCTCTATAATGGGGTCAAATATCTTAGAAGCTACTTTGAATATCAGAATCCCTTTTTAATTGCTGTTTTTTCTCTAGTGACTCTCTCCCTTTGTCTTTGTTTGAGGGTGTTGAACATCCCCAGGCTGTACATTATCAACTCACTTCTGACCTTAACTCCCTCTTACTTTCAGAAGGCGTTGGTTAATTCCCCTGCTGTGTCTACTTGCCATAATCAAGGTTTTTTTCACCTATTAAATAACGACAAAGCTTCTGTATGTACCTGGGTTTTTTTAAGGGTTCACTGTCTGATACAGGCTGGTGTTTGTAGAAAGATTTTACGCAATTTAGGTCAATTCAAGCGAGAAACACACACATCTTATCTCTCAGACATCTTTAAATCCTTCCTGACGTACCTGTCCTGCCTGGAAACAGATATGCATCAGACCTTTACTTTATCCCTTTAATGGAAGAGAGAGAATACAGTTTGTTGATGTGTGATTGTATTTATTTGTAACTCTATTTGTGTTATGTTCAGTTTAAGCTGTGAATGACGGTTGACTGATAATGTCCCAGCATACTTTAGCTGGCAGACTTGGTGGCACCATCCCTGCCCTGATATCCCCTCCGTGTCCTTGAAACCAGTCGTACCTCCTCTGTCCTCAATGTGAGCTGTTATTAACAAGGTTGCTAGCAACATGTATTCAAACAGGTCAATATCCATGACTCTCCCTCTGAGATCATGCTAGTATTATCAGTCCCAGATGTGGAGGCAACATGTGGGCCGAGCCGTCGCTCAGCTCTGAAATCGGCCGATACTTCACTGTTAATTTTGCACTCGGCTGTTTCTTTGAACGTAAGATTTATCCTCCCGTCCTGTTAGCTAAAGGTGTTGACAGCTGACTTTCCATCTAATGGCTACTGTAACTATGTGTAAGCTCTATCAATCCTCAGCTTTAGTGGGTCGATACTTTAACATTATGCAGACACTGACGTAATGTACCATAAATCCATAATCACCTCTCGATAACCACATCTGCTCCTGAGAGTCGGCTTTAAAACATGTACAAACTAAGGGATTCTCATCAAGTAGGATGAAAGTAAAAGAGGATGTTGGAGGTTTGTTTGTTTAACGATGTGAAGGATAATTGTGTTTCATATGGTGCCTGTAATTGAAGTGGAGTGTGATTGTTTCCTTGTTTCCTTGACATATATGTCATGCATGTTCGCTCTCACGGAGGGATAAGCTCATCAAGACCTTCCCACTGCTGAGGCGGATGCATTTGCCCTGATAGACTTATGGAATATGACATATAGCTTGTGTTAGTAAAGCCCAATGTGGGAGCAGCTGGCTATCAAACTCAATGTACAGTAGAAGCCGGTCAATGCACAACTCTAACTATTATCTCTACTCCTTTGCACAACTATATGCTTAATTTCTATTATTTTTACTTTAATTAATTTTTTTATCATCTACTTGGTTATAAATAAAATTTCATTGCACATTTCCCCTTTTTTCAATTTGATTTATATTCTTATTTCTTGTTGTTTGGCACTTTGAGCTTAAGTTTTGGGGGGGATTTATCTGCCATATCTTTTGTCTGTAATATGTATCAGTGAATGTGTCAACAATGAACTGCAACGTGCCCAGTTTTTTGTTGCATGTCATCCTTCTCTTCCCTCATTTCCTGTCATCTCTCTCCTCGATCCAGTTAATAAAATAGCCACATTTCCTCCTATGTCTTTGCATACATCAAAAGTAACCGAGTACTTTCTCTGTGTTCTCCAGGTGAAGCCAAAGGTGATTGAGCCGCTGGAATATGAAAATGTGTTGGTGCAGAGGAAGACACAGATCCTCAGTGATGTCCTCCGGGACATGCTACAGTTCCCCCTGGAGGACTTTGAGGTGAGTTTCACACCCGTTTCATTCAGGAAATCTGGCTGTGGGTATCGTTGCAGGGATTATATTGCTGAGGAGTATGATTTTAACGATGGAAGTGAGGTAAAGTTAGTAAGGTAAAGTGAGGTAAAGTTAGTAGTCGTGTTCTGGTCACTGCCAGAGTTAGGGCTTTGATTTCCAGTGTGTCTACTCATGCTGTGAATAGTGGGGCGTTTGTGGTGGAAACTATCGAATAAATAACGGGAGAGAAAGGTCAAAGCCTAATTGCTTATACTTTAAGTGATTAAAGAGTCATTTTTTAGAAGATGCTCTTTTTATTGTTGTTTCTCTAACATCATTTTTTACCCACCCACTTGCGTGTTTTCTTTGTTTTATGTGTTTGCGTCTTTCCCTTTGGCCCAGGCGTGGCCGGCGCTGTGAGTGCAGGGTGGGGTTGTTCACAGAGGTTTAATTTTTGTTTACATCCTTCCACGTTGTAGTGAGAGAGAGGGGTCAGGGGCCATCTGTTTAATTGGCTCATTCTGTCGCCAATGTTGTGACAAAGCGAGTGTTATCTCCAGCCACATTGTAAAGGACGTACGCTCCCCCCACACTTTCCACGGTGAGGATGGAAAATCTAAAATGGAAATCTGGCCCTGTGCTGGTTCTTCAGGAAATGAAACCTGATCGAAATAGTTTTTTTACCAACAGCAGCAGCGAGATGTGCAGGAATCAAATCTGAACCCTGCAGCTCTGTCTCACGATCCAGTTGAAATGTTCTTTTATTGTTATTGCTGAATGCCCACATAAGACAGTACAAAGTACAAAGCAGTAATGTTTTTACTGTATACAGAAACACATTTTACAAAACGTTCTAAAGTGCCATGATGGTCATGTGGAAGGAGGAGCTGCATTTTGATTTGAAATGAAAGCCACTGAGGACATAAAGACATTTCTAAAAATCTTCCACCACAGCTGTAGTGGGAGTCAAATGCTCGGATAGAGTCGACAAAAAGTTTCAAAATGTTCACGCAAAAGGCTTTTCTTTCCAGGAAGTCAGAAGGATATATCTTATTTGATACCGTCATACTCGGGATCTCTGAAGTGCCCTTGAGTTAATAACCAAACGGCAACACATTGTATGATAATGTTAGTTTCTTAGTTGCTAGTTTATAATGAAAGGAAAATAAACAATATTAATGCACACACTTTATCAGTAACAGTAATTTCCCCTGTGCATATCTTATCTAAAAAACACTTTCTGACCCAGATCACCAAAGCTATCTTAATAGTTAAATGTGTAACAGGGATTTAAGTTACTGTACTGCTGATAATGGCTGTGTTTGCTTCTGTTTAAAGCTATTGGTTGTTACAGATCATAAAAGTCTGGCAGCTGTGAACTCGGTGAAGGCATGGCAGCCTTGACTTTGTCCTCTCTTGTGTCATGCTCCTCCAGCCTGCTGCTATGAACATAACATAGTAGCTTTACACACAAACAGTGCGTTGTCAGGGACTGACAGGTGATTCTGACCGAGAGAATAAAACACCACAGTCACAGTGATTGAACTAAACATCTGTTTTGACCCCCATGGACTCAAGCAAGGTTTCAATCAGCTTCTGTGTCGAGGCCTTTTCAATGTTAGCTGATTTTAGCGAGAGGAGACAGGCAGTGTGGAGTCATGCAGAAAACTCAAATGCATAGAGACAGTAGAAAGTATACATGTGTTACTTGGGGATGAATAAATACCAAAACAGGCATAAATAGCTCCTCTGACTGTGTTGTTATTCTTGTGTAAAACTTGTTTTTGGCTGCTCCTCATGGACAGAATTTACAATCAGGTCCTCATCTTATCCCAGCTGGCACGTCCTGTGTTGGTAGGTACGGCTTTTGTGTGAGCCAGTATTTATATCATCTCCATCTGGTTTAGATTTGAACAGTTGTTGGCACAAGTCAGTTCTGTTCAGTGCTTTACCCGCAAGGTCTCTGGAGAAATTTGTTGAGGATTACCAGGGGATGGGGCCCTTCCTTCCCTCAGGTGTAAGGCCCATCCCCAGCTTAAATTCCACAAATCAGGATAATGTTATTTTTCCTTTACCTCAGCCATTACAGTTTATATGTCTTGAAAGGACAAAGCTGGTAATGTTTTTTTAATATTTTGTTCCCAAAACGCCACTTAAAATGAAAACACCAAAACCCATGTGTCTTGTTCTCTCAACACTTGCCAACTTCCCTACCCTGCATGTGGTGATGCATTTGTACATACATTAATGGTTCCCAGAGGATAAACCATATTGATTTTTGGAATCCCCTGAATTCTCCTTTTGCCTCACTATGTGGTGAATAATAACATTTGTATGACAACAAACCAGCACATGTGACTGATGTGCTTAAGTGCATGTACGCAAAGCTGCTAGCATGAGTGTTGAGTGTTTTTAAATGGTATTACATTTACTATTAATATAACATACGTAGTTTTTAGCAAACATTTCTCAAACTGTAGTTATATGTGTATTTATTGGGACTACATTCAGCCACAGACTTGATGCATTAGTATTGATACCCAAGTATTTTCAGCAGCTGGACAGTGTTTGTGGGATTGACTATAAATGAAGGAACACCCAGTGCAACGAGCAGTGGCGGTTCTAGACCAATTTGACTGGGGGGGCCAGGCTGGGGCCAGTTATTTTCTGAGGGGGGGCACAATAAATGCAGGACGAAAAAGACAAAGACAGTATGAAGTAATTGCGCATTAGAACACAATGCAATACAGTTATTGGTATTTGTTTCATTACACATATTTATTTCAGATACTTATAGTTACAGTTTTTTAGGATGAGAGCTACTTTCAAAAATAAAACAAGTCGTGAGCTACTTTTACTCCTCTTTTTTTGTTTTTTTGCAGTGTATATATTTAGCACATTTTAACATTATTATATGCTTACCTTTAACCTTTGTGTGCTGTTAGGGTCTGTGGGACCCTTTTTCAGGGTTTACTAAAATAAAATGTATGCAATTTAATTATTTTAACCAGCTTCATTTGGGGGTGGACCTCCCATCCTCTAGGGGGGTCCGGGGGCATGCACCCCCGGGAAATATATATATTTTAAATGTTGAAGTGAAATGCATCAATTTGGTGCACTTTGAGCACAAAATGAATTTATGGATACAGCTCTCAACACTCATATGAAAGGGAGCTGTATACTTTTCAATAATCCAAAAATCTTTAGAAAATGATCACAACCAATAACAAATCATTTAAACTTGTTTATTCTTATCTTATGTTACCTATAATTAGCATTCTTTCTTTTTATTTATGCATATTTTACTAATCACTCCCATTTTAAACTGTTGCAAGAACGTTGATATGTCGATATTCATTGTGGGGGGTGGGGGGAGGAGGGGTCTTAGATAGATATAGAGTTGTAGTAAGTAAATAGAGTTCGCTATGATTGAGGTTTTGTTTATGCATAGGGTAGATTCTTTTAATTACATTCCCTTTTTTTGTGTGTGTGTATTTTTTACATTTTGGATTTGCTTGGCGAGCTACGTACTTATTGAGGGCTTGCGAGCTACCGGTAGCTCGCAATCGACGTGTTGGAGACCCCTGCTCTAATGGGTCCGACTAGAATGACAAATAGCGTTAGTTACGCCTATTCCGTCAGCCAAGAAATCGTTTAATCATAAACTTTTCTTTTTTTTTTTCATTTTCAGGGGGGCCACAGGGGGGTCCAAAGTCAGTGTTATGGGGGGCACTGTCCCCCCCTAGAACCACCCCTGGCAACTAGTAGCTCATGTTGTCTTCATTTTTTTTTTTTTTACATCGGGGGTTTATGGTACATAGAAATATGATTTTATTTTTGGAAAAGCTTTTGTTGATTTTGTTTATTAATGGGATTTGTTGATAATAAGAATCGACTACAACAATGTGGTAATTTAGGGTTTATTTCACCAGATAATCCCTCAGTTCTCCCAGTTGACCTGTAGCCCGATTAAATGCTTCCTTTGCCAACTTCCTGGCTCCCTCTTACCTCCATGCCTGTTTATTTCTGCTGCTTGGATTGTAAAGATTATCATCTCCCCTGCAGGAAACCTGGCTAGGCTAGAGGAAAGGGAGACGTCAGGTTTACACTCACAAGTTCGGTGTGGAATTTGTCGCAGTTGACACGACCAGCGCTAAGTCAAATACAAGGTCATTCGGAGGAAATACAAGGTCATTTATAGGGAGAGTGACACAACACTGAAATATTAGCATTTGAGTGTCATTATAGATGAATATGCTGATTATTATCTTGAGTAATCTTCATAAATTATGTGATCTTTAAAATGTCAGAGAATGGTGAAAAATGTGCATTACAGTCCAAAGCCCAAAATCAATTAGTTTGCCATCGTCTAAACAAAGAAAAGAGAGGCAGCAACAAACCCTCACCGTAAAGAAGCTCAAACAAGAGGTTTGGTGTTTTTTACTCTACTAAAATCTCTAAGAGATATACGTATACTAATGTGAAAAATATTAGGTAAAAACTCACCGTAGTGTGTTAATAATGCTTAAAATTACTTAAACTATGAGGTCTTGTGATAGAAGCTAGAAAGTTATAACTATAATATTTTTGATTATTCTTAAAAAATGTTTTATATATCATCAACTTGATTTTCACAAGGGATCAATGGATTGAATTTATACTTTAAAGGTTTGGGATTATAAACACATTTGACTGATTTACACATGTGGCAGAAGAAACTTGACCAATGTGTTTTTCTTTCATTGCGACACACTCACACACACTACTATGTGGTCAAAGTATTTTCATTTGATTAAGTGTGTAGTAATTTGGACAGTAACCTTATGATATGGAATATTTCTACTCAAAGTGCTTCTCATTTCCATATAAATGTGTGGGGAAAAGATTATGGGGGTATTGTCTACATCCCTCTCATCACAGAAAACACAGTTGACCGGCATTTGACTCGCACAAAGCCACAAACCCTTTTAACTCAGTCAGCTGAACGCTTCACTTAATGGTTGTATTCATATTTCACTCTTGCTTACAGGGATTATGTGTGGTCAAATGCACTTTATTTTTAAATTAATCCTCCTGCTAAGACCTCATGGTGATGATGTTGCACAAAGCGGTATTTTACTCAGTTTCACACTTGGCTAAAACTGGCCTTGTGGTTACACTGAGAGGGAAATTTACAGCTGAGATTTACTCAAGTTTAATTCGTTTGTTAGTCTTGGTTTGAAGCTCTAACTTATTTGTCTTGTTCTTGTTGCCCCTTGTTTGATGATGCCCACCTTATTATTTTTGGAGGCACCTGTAAGTTGACATCCACCTGGATGCATCTTTAATTATTTTTGTATACATTCACATTATCATTTTAACATTTGGCTTCTCTATGTTGTCTGTTTTCCCCATTAATTGTGGGGTTTCTTGGGAGTTTTTCCTTGTATGTTGCAAGGGTCTAAAGACAGAGGGTGTCGTATGCACACACTGTAAAGCCCCTAGAAAAATGTGTAATTTGTGATATTAATATGAAAAAAACAAGATAGATGTCTTGATTGTTTCTGCTGTTTGACTACAGTGCACTGTGGATCTGTTGGTCATTAGTAAGAGGCTTGAATAAAGCATTAGCAGTGCTGAGATGCTGATTGGTGTTGCTGTACAACAGTGGCAGAGAGCCAGACTCAGGGTGTGTCTGTGGCTCCTGGAGCTGAACAGTATGGACCAGCATCCTGCCTCCCTCACACACTGCCCCTTTGAACACTCAGAAAGCCATTTTTCAATCATACAATAATATTTAAAAGAACACCCAGATCAAATGTGTCCAGCTGAGACCATAAACTGTGATACTTGGTGTCCAGCTTGAGCAATGTCTTCCACATTTCGCTTTCATTCTTACAGTCATAGTTGTTGTAATTCCCCTGCTCTGTTTCTCTTATTGAAAGAAAACATTGTTTTGTTTTGCAGATTTCAATTTTGAGGCGCCAAGGGAGAACCCTCTACCCTACGCTGCCGGAAAATGCAGAGCGGGAGGCCCAGAGTGTGTTCGTCCAAGAGGTAAGCTGATTTAAAGGCCCTAAAAACACATTTACTTAATCAACTGCTTAGTGTGACTAATGGGGTCATATGTAAACAGAACCTTTGCCTGCCAGTTTTGTTATTTCACGTTAGAGATTTCTGTGTTTTAGTTTTTGTCCTGGAAAAGAGCTCAGAGGGAAGAAAGTGAACCAATCTAGACTTGGGGTAAAAACAGTTTGGAAATGTTCACTGTTAAGTCTGTATAATCTTGATGATTATGCCATACACTTTGGCGTGTGTATTAACACAAATAAAAAAACACAAAGCATACATAAAAAGATTCACAAAATAATGATCTATTATACACAAGACAATTGAGTAAAAAATACTTTGTGCACTACAACTGAATACAAAAGTATAGAAAATGTTTTCTTTTAAATACAGAGCATTCAAAAACTGGTATCAATAGGTGGAAAATCTATAAGAAATACATTAGGTAGTGGTTAGGAAAGCATATCACTCTCACGTAAACAACACAGACACACCGCTAACGAATCGTGACACTAATGTGACAGATCACCCAATTTGTTACCTAACATTAGCAGCAATGTACTGGACATCACAGCTAATAAGGAAACCTCTTTATCAAGGTTCAAGGCTTTTATTGGTCATACGAACATAGCTACAGTGTAGTTATGACGATGAAAATCTTAGCTCACAGGCTCCTCCAACATATTTCAGCTAAACAAAGCATTCATCTAACTTTAAGTGTTCTGTAAATGGTATCTTAATTCATTGCAGATCATTGCAGGAGGTACTGTAACCAGACTATTACTGTGTTTCCTCAGTTATATCTAGCGGGGAGGTAGGAATGATAAGTGTAATTCATTTTTACAGTCCTAAAGTTTATCATCACTTCTGGTTATTGTCTGTCAGTGTTGGTTTATAATGTAGAACGTTACTATTAAACAAAGGTTCTTAAAAACACACATTGATGCTTCTTTGTATGTTGGGTAACTTCATTGCAGTTGGACTGAAACAATGTTAATTCCAGCTAAAATGATAAATCATGTCTACAAAACGGGAAATGTTTCTTCCTTTAAACATCACACTAGTTTAACATCCGGCCATGAACACTGCTTCTTTTCATGCCAGACACCAACTGTCAATTCACCTTCCAGGTTAGGGGTCAGGGTTTAGGCAGCATTGTCTGATGTCATAAAGACACTAAAGCTCCCGGTCAAGTGTTGTGTGACATCACCGGGACAGCTGTCTGGATCAGCCCAGCAGGAGCCTCTCTGTTTCCGATCGCTGTCCTGATCAGGTTGCACTTGGTGTCAGGGTATTGCTTGTAAATGGCACTCATTTCTGCAGAACAGATACCAGAGAGCTGCTCCCATCACTGACTAACAATGAACAGATGTTTTCCAAGTAAAGGGAGATAGAGATACACTCCCTCCCAGTTTGTACTAATGGACATGGTTTGACAGAGCGTGACCACTGACAGTACACTCCTTAAGAATTTCACTGCATAAAGGCTTTAACTGTTGATCAAAACAACCAATGTATTTTGAGTGTGCGTTCTTGGGATTCATAAAAACCACTGTAGGAAAATACTTTATACATTCTTTTTAAAGGCTTTGTCATATTCACATTAGCTACATCATGGTTTTGGTAATGAAAGTCTTCAGTCTTAAGCTCTTGAAACACACAATATATTTGACATAAAGGTCAAATACATAAAATAGTGCATTAAAAAAAATGCAATAGTCGAATGGTTTAAGGAAGGGTTATTTGTCTGCCTACTGCTTTTTGTGGATCCAGAAGAAGCTGTGCAAAATCGTGAACATTTCCCTTCAAGTTTGAAAATAAATGATTAGCCGCTTTTAGCTTAGCACACCAGAGCATTTGACAGAGCTCTCTGCGGTTGAGCTGCATTGTGGGTTATGTCTTTCAGAGACATAAAGACATAAAGATACATATTTTGATCTTTTGCATAATTTCATCATGCAGGGTCGTTTTTTAAGTCAGTATGCTTCAACCAAAGTGCAGGTCAGATGGTGGTCTAAATAGTCTAAAACCCCATCCTCACACAACACAAAGTAGTTATTTTGGTCCTGACGTCTTAACAAAACCCTGATGTACAACTCTCCTGTGTATTTGACAGTATGTTATAATGGTCTGTAATGTGTTTCCATTGTCTCCTCAGTGCATCAAGACCTACAAATCTGACTGGCATGCTGTCAACTACAAGTATGAGGACTTTTCTGGAGACTTTCGTCAGCTTCCAAAGTAAGTCTGTGTTTGAAGAACCTCTGCATTTCTGTACAATATATTATAGTTTTGTAGTGTGCCGAGGTATTCTTATGATGGCCAAGTAAGAGCAGCTTCTGTATATAATGTATGCATGCCAGAGGTTTTTAAATAAAAGACAAAGTCACGCATGTTTTTGTGTTTCATGTCACCTAGACAAACTGTCACCTTTTTGTTTCCTACTTTTGACAAAATGTTGTTGTGACCTAATTACAGGGAAACGCAGCGTGCAAATAATTCTTATTTCCCCACAACAAAAGAGCGTTTCCTTTTTAATGATGCACTGGATAATTCCCGGCTACAGACAGTGTGGAAACCACCCTCATTGTCTTTAGATTGTGTCATCAGCTTCAGCCTCTTCCCTGAAGAATATCTGTTTTGCTGCCAATGTGTTGGAATATGAGTTGACAATGACCTTATGATCTCGTCACTGTCACTGCCGCCAATTGTCCTGTCACTGTAGTGAATCCGGGGAAGTTAAAACAATACCTGGATCGCCTGTTAAAAACCCCACAATATTTGTAATGTTATTCTTACCTTTGGCACATTTTCATTTTCTATCAAGCATTAGACACCTTAGCGTATTTCCATTTGAACACTCCTGGAACTTGCTTTTGCGTCTATGCAGCCTTTTCTTTTACACTCACAAATATACAAATGTACTTAATCAAAGGAAACTACAAAATAATGAGAACAAATTAGTCACACAACTTCAGATCACATTTGCTGGACAGATTGAACTGAAAATAAAGCAAGTAAGCAAAACCGCCATGCATATCCAAGTACTGCCAAGTAAATGTGTCTTTTGAGAAGACTGTCTCTTTCCAAAGTGGTAAATTAAGAGCATATTTTCAGGGTGTCAAGTAACTAACTGACTAACTAACTAACTGACTAACTAACTAACTGACTAACTTACTAACTAACCAACCAACTAACTAACTAATATATTTCTTGACACTGTAGCTTCTGATTGTGTTAATAAATACTATACATGCCTGTTCATAATAATTCTTTATTTTACAGCAAAGTGTCCAGGCCTGACAAACTGGCTGTCCATGTCTTTGAGGTAGATGAAGATGTCGACAAAGATGAGGTGAGGCTGAGTTTATTTCTTTACAATGTCTAGATTTGTCGACCTTGAATTCCCCCAAATATTCGACCTACAGCAGAGAGAGCTGATATAAGTGTATTTGCTCTCACATCTCTTAATTAGAAACCCGGCCCAAAGGAAACACAGCACGTTGCTAAATACGTCTAATTCCAGTTGTCAGTTTTGCCTTTCCTGTTTTCATTACAGCTGTTAAAGAAATAAGAGGCATATTTGGGTCTAATTCTGAATTTAATGGGAGGAATTAAGTATAATCAGTCTTAAATACTTTTGCTGATTCACCATTCTCGAAATAGCTTTATTTAACACAGTTTCATTATTTCTCAAGCCTCATTTGGATCTTCTCACCCTCTTCTAGTTCATGTATGATGGAGTGGGTGTTTGGTTATTCATACCTGTTAAATGAGTGTAGATTTCCTGAATTGAGTCTTCAAAGGTGATACAAAAGCTGTGGCTGAAATGTTATCTAACTATAAAGATCCTTCACAAGATGTATGATGATTATCCTGACCCTCTCTCCTCACATAAAATGTCAAACTGCTCCTCCTATAGGCAACACAATGTGCTCCAACCCTGGCTGAAATACTCTGTTTACACACGGGGTTTATGGGTTTTATAGAAAATTATGCTACGAAGTTTACTTTTTCTTCTAAACTGCGTGATTGCTTAATGCAGCTGGGATTAAGGAAGGCTAGGCCCGGTGGTAACAGGTCAGGATTTGTCCTGCTCAGCCTCACAGTCAGCTTCACCTCTGACAGGACCTGACAAGATCAAATCACTCCTCATTCCCTCAAGCCCTCTCTCTGGCCTCTACTCCTTCCAACAGGATTTATAAACTGGGAATTAGCTTGAAAAAACGTTTAAATACATCCTCTAAGATAATTGTTCTTTGTGGTGGTGCTTGGACCACATGCAACATTGGTTGTGAGATTTTGTTCATCTTCTCTTTGTCTGACTTGAGTTTAGTTTTCTTTTTTAGATGTTTCTAGTTTTCTGGAGTTCATAGAGAAAGAAACAGTGATTCTGTCTAGACATTTGCCAGGAGAAGCAGGACCAAAACCTTCCCAGCTGCTTTTTAAATCACTCCACAAGGCACATGAAAATATTAGAATTCCTCCCAGCACTTTTAAATCCCATTTTACTTTAGTAGACTGAGAAAAAGAAGAAGAAGAAGTAGTGCTCGACCAGGATGTAGACATCTTGAAATTCAATCTTCTCTGTGTGTGAAATTCTCAGGGATACGGTTTTCTTACAGTCTTCTCTTAAAGCCAGGAAGTGTTACTGTAAATGACAGGGCTGATCTAAACCAGGACCGGTCTTCTTCCTTCATTACCCTCCTAATTGGTTTATTTGTACAGATCACGATAGCCGGTGGATCTTAGAAGCTTTGTTATTTTGTGTGATCTCATGCTCCCCTCCCTTTGAGTGTGAGATGATTTGTTCCTTGTGTCATAGATCTGCTGTGAAGACAGAGATATTTATTTAGTTTAACAGTCATAGTTTGTTTAATGTGTGTCTGCCTGCTTGTTTGCACTGAGATGGACCTACAGCTTGTTCTGCTCTGTGTCATCTCAAACCACAACATCAAGGGGTTTTCTCCAAAATGAGGCAAGGCTTTGGCAGCGTGTGTTAAAAGCATTTTCAATCTGATGTCAATATATGAGGATCCACTGAAAAAACATCTGTAATAACTCACATTCTGCTTCAAGCAAAACCATCATTTTTAAATGAATGTGCTTTCTCTGCTTTTTGGTAATTTATTGGAAACATGTGACTAGTTTGTGTTGATAAAAGTATTAAGACTTGTTCCAAAATGGAAAAAATACATGTGTACATTTGTGGACAGGACCGAATATGGTAAGCAAGTTTCAATTTACACTACATGGCTTTTTTCCCTTGCAGTATGAGTGTGTATTTCATTGTCTTGTGTCTTTGTCCCCTGCAGGATACGGCCTCCCTAGGATCCCAGAAAGGCGGGTTTTCCAAACATGGCTGGCTGTACAAAGGAAACATGAACAGTGCCATCAGCGTCACCATGAGGGTGAGACACAGGATTTTCAATTTAAACCATTAGTCAATTAGTTGAATATTTTATCTAAGGAATATTAAATGGAACCTTAAAATGTGTGGATTTGGTTTTCTTTGTGTTATATTATGACAAACCAAATAGCTTTGGATTTTGGCGATTTATAGATGTCTCATTTGTGATGGTAAGATGTGATGAGAAGTTCTGACATTTTATATACAAGACAATTCCAGAAATAATTGACACATTTATCTAAAATAAAAATAAGCTGCAGCAACACTGCTTTAATTGGAAAAAGTGCATGTGTTTTATGTGTATTTAAATTAATAAAAATGTGACACGTATGTTAACATTGATGTGTTTGCAGTGAAAGTTATCTTAACTTAAATATCACCCATTATCATCATTACTAATTATACATAAAAAACATTATCATCTCATTATTTTAGTTATAATTTCCACAACATGTTTTTCCCTAAATCCATTTTATATATTTCACAGTCACAATTTTGCTTCAAAAGCTTTTATTATCAGTACAGCATGCAATACCTCTACCTCTAAATCCATCAATACTTGTTGCCTTTTTACAGGAAGGCTTATTATTCCTGGCAGTTTACACTTATACTGTATAATGCATAGAGAGTAGAAGACTTGAGATTGTTTTGACCAAAACATTGCATTTTTTTCTCTCCAATAAATGGTATTTCCTCTTTCTGTTCCAGTCATTCAAGAGGAGGTATTTCCATCTTACTCAGCTCGGGGACGGCTCTTATAATTTAAACTTCTACAAAGATGAGAAGATCTCCAAAGAGCCCAAAGGAACCATCTTCTTGGACTCCTGTATGGGTGTGGTTCAGGTACGCTCTGAAATATTTCGCTGTGGCACAAAGGAAGTACAGTTTTAACTGTAGTTCAACTGGATGACCTACTTCACCAAACGGGATATCCTGTGGCCTGGTCCCTCATGGATATTAAAACACCATTTGCAGGAAATAAACTGAAATACGGATATACCAACTTCCTCTTCACAATTCTTCTCTCTATGAACATATTTTCCGACTTGTAGTGTAACATGTAAACTATAAAAGGTAAACGTTTAACAAACATTTCTCTGCTGCTGCTGATGTTCACTTCCCTGAAACCGGAGCTCTCCTTCCCAAGGTTATACTGCTGACTCTCACATTGTAAAACAAGGTGAATGCTTTTGTCTCACTTCCGTGCACTTTCCATCGGCCCCTCAATCGATTCCATGTGCAGATATCTCAGTGCAGGCCAAGACTCACTGGGTGCATTTATTATCACCTGTCAATAGATGGAGAGCAGCTGATCGTACTGAAGAGGCACTCAGCTGGCATCTATCAGATATTATTTGAGTGTATTTCCAGGACTGATTCCTATCAGTGGATGGGAATAGCTATCAGGCCAATGTCTACAAGGAGGAGAGATTTACGCTAAATGTTTGAATGCTTTTTCTATATTTTTTGGAAGCACCTCCTGATTTAATCGGGCTAGGCTGGAAACATTAGAGCAGGGGTGTCAAACTCAAGGCCCGGGGGCCAAATCCGGCCCGCGACCTAATTTTATGTGGCCCACAAGAGCTTGCAAAGAATATAATATACAATACAATTGTTGAATATTTGCTTTCAATTATTTGCCCAAGACTTCTGCTTTCAGACGTAGTTATTTAGGAAGATATTACCAGAACTGATAATAATCCAATGCAGGGCCAACAATGTAATATAATACATTATTTAATATATTTACATATGTATATTTATATATAATTAAAATTAAAACCGGCCCTTTGAGTGCCACCATAATGCTGATGTGGCCCGGGATGAAATTGAGTTTGACACCCCTGCATTAGAGGATTACATTGCCGCTTTTCTGTGCCATTGTATACATTGTTAAGAAAAGGCCAGAAAATACAGAACATTTTTGTATGTCTTTATGTCATCAAAAAAAACATTACTTTAAACACAATACGAATAATATTAGATTTATTGCAACAAAATAAATTGGTTATACTCTGCTAATGAAAACTAGAAATAAAGTTGATAATCATATACAAAAAGGAAATTAAAAAGGAAATGTGTTCAGAAAGGGTGTACACGACATGTACGGTAGACTCAAAATCTACAAAGGCACATATCATAAAAAAACAAACCTGTGGATTATGTCTCGTGGTTTTAAGTCAAATTAAGTAGATGCTTAAAGTATGTTGTGATTCACTTGCTTATACGCTGATAGACCTGTACTGTATTCAATAAACCAGTCTGTTGGGGATTAATTTTCTGCAGTGATTTAGCAGCATTCACTGCACAGCCTCCTGTGTAACACATACAGTTGATGAGTTTTCTGCTCTGTTAAAGTCACAAACATCATGCAACTTGTACTCAACCAGCAGTGACTGTGGAGATGCAGATGTTAAACTCTGCAGCTGTAATGACCTGTGCAGTGACGTCATACTGAGCCTGAAGCTGCTCCTGCCCTTTGTAAAGATGCCAACACATGCTCAAACGCACAAAGCATTTCCCACATAGTAATGAGGTCTCGGAGGGCAGTCCCTGTAGGTTAACAAGGAGCAAAACGCCCTTAAAACGTCAACGTTGAGGATTTCAACTTTCATTTTTCCTATTTTTTCTTTCTTTGGAACACAGATGCTAATAATATCATTACAAAATGACTTCCGTTTTGTTGTCCACTCGTTTCCCCCAGGATGTGTGCAGCTGTTTTGTCTAGGAAACAGAGACCAGTCCTCCTACTGTACCTATCAGACTGTTTATCAAGAGTCCAGTTTGATTCCCTCTCTCCATGTAGACTCGGCCTGTCTACCTCCCTATCACTCCCCCTCTGTTCAGCCTGCTACAGTGATAACCAAAGCATAACAATCCACTGAGTGCTCACAGTAATGAGCTGACTTCTATGGTCAGCTAAAGATTTACTGAATTCATTTTTTAATAAAACGCACTATCATGGACACACTGTAGCTGAATCAGCAGTTATAGGTAACAAATGGGACATAAAAGCCTGAATGGGCCGGTGACATCATTGAGGTCATAGTCCCGCTGCAGATCCAGCTCGTTTTCTCTGCTGTGGTCCTGGCAGAGAGGGAGGTTTTGTTAAGCAGATGGAAATAATCTGTTCCTCCCTCACTCACATTGTCCATGAGCTTTTTGTGGCAGTTCAATTAAAACTGTAGATAGCCTCCCACTTCTTTCAAAACAGTGACTCACATTTTATAAATGTTTGGAGCTAAACGGTCTCAGTATATTGTTTTTGTTTTGCAGGCTCAAACTGCATTATACAAGGAAGTATGAGGGTAGAATTAAAATGAAACAGGCTATGATTTAGATCGTAAACGTTAGATTGTACTGCCTTCTGATGAGCCGACAGTTGTTAGATGTTGGCTTTGGATAGTGAAATAAAAGACTGCAATATCCACACTTGGGTATTTGATTTTTTTTATGTAGCCAGGCAGAGGGCATTACGTTTTTGGCTTATCCACCCTTGCTTGTGAATGCGATATCTCAGGAACGCGTTGAGGGAATTTCCTCACAAAGGTCCATTTCAAAGGTCAATGTAACCTTACATCATGTTTTTGGCCATAACTCAATCATTCATAGGCTCATTATAAGAAAATCACACAATTGTCTAGGATCAAAGATGAAGTGATGACATTTCCAGTTGAATAAACATGGATATAAACGGCACTTTGGATCGTTGGTGGCAGCATATAACTTTGGGGTGGTTATTGTAGTTATTATAGCTTATTTTAAACTCAACAAAGTAAATCAATTATTACAAATCAGGTACTTATATATGGCAAACATGAATGCTGCTACCTTTACGGCATAAAAAAGTTGAATTATGTTGTATCTATCAAGTTTAACTGTTTTATTTACATTTTTCTTAACACCCCCTTTTTCTCTTCTTGCTGTGGCTGCAGAACACCAAGGTTCGACGGTTTGCTTTCGAGCTGAAGATGCAGGATAAGAGCACCTACCTGCTGGCCTCGGAAAGCGAGGCAGAGATGGAGGACTGGATCAACCTGCTCAACAAGATCCTGCACAGCAGCTTTGAGATCGCCATGGCGGAGAAGAGGAATGGAGACATTCATGATGGTGTGTTGGTCCGTCGGTTCATATTTTTAGTGTCTGAAAGAACACAAATATAAAATGGAATATCATTTTTTGTTAGTCAAAATATTATCCAGTTCATGATAAGGAATATTATGTTTTTAACTATTTTGACAATTAATTAATTTCTTTGAGTACATTTTTAAGAAAATAAAGTCCAGTTCATACTTCTTGAAATTGGCTGGTTTCCTGAATCTTCTGATGGTAAACTGAATATATTTGAGTTTTGTATTGCTTGTCGGAAAAAACACGACATTTAAATATGTCAGCATGGGCTTTGGTAAAATGTGATGGACATCTTCCAAATAAATACATTAATTAAGAAAAATAGGATAATCCATAATAAAAATAACCATGTTTCAGACCTAAAAATGTGATAACTTTACTAATGCTGTTTAATTTGAGTAGTTACAGTGTTCCTATATTGTACACAAAGCTTCTAAAACGCAAATATCCTCAGTTATTATATCCTAAATAATAATCATAAATATTGAGAATCCATTAAACGCATTCATCACTATCAGTATATTTATTCTGGGATACTGTACCTGAGGATCATTCTCATCAACATCCACTCACTTCTCGCGGCTCACTTCTCCTCTACCTCTCCCTGCCCTGCAGTGATGTGATACCAGACCACCCAGACTTTTACTCACCTCCTGTCTCATAGGAGGCTTAGCCGTGGAGGAAAAAGGCTGAATGCTTTTGAACAAAACGGCCCACTAATCTTCCCTAACTCCTGAGCTTTTATTAATCACACTGCGCATCAGAGAAAACACAATTCTTCTTGAGGAGATCTCTGAGCTTTCATAAATGTACCTTTGAGACCTGCTGTATCTCCATCTCAATCCTACTGATTCATGTGCAGCTGAATTACTGTTTACTTAACTTTCCCGTCAGAAAGTGATTAAGCAGGTTTTAAAAACACAAGGAGGTTTTGTTTATGCTTTGCAAACTTTCGCCTGCATCAAATGGTGTCTTCTTTTTTCCTCTAGATGATGATCTTGGAAAGTCCGATAGCTCCTCTGGCAGCATGGACAGCTTTCAGGTAGGTCCTCCTCTCTCAGCTGGTGCTCACACATTCAGTAACGTATCTCATGGAGCTGCAGCATGAAATCTCTGGTCCTCATTGAAGGAAGAGGGCCTCTTGCCGCAAACATGTGGCTTGGATTTGGATTTAAGTGTTGCTGGTTACACACCTAATTTCTCAGTTGGTCATTTGTTTTTGTAGATCTGAAATTAATCACTGTCAGACTTATGGGAAAAAAATATACACATAGGTTTTTATCTCACTGCACGTTGTCTATTTGTGTCTGCAGATTTCTCCCAAACCCAACAGATGTTATAATTAGATAATGCTTCCTTAGCACGTTTAAACGTAGTATTTCAGAAAACAAATACTTCTAAAAATGTTTGAATTTATACCACATATTTTTCTCATACTCTCAATATCTCTTCAATAGCATATACAACATTTGTTCATAAATTCAGAGACAGTTTCATCCCACCGGCAATAAGACTGTTAAACACCTGAACTGTTGAAACAACATCCATAGCATTCATCTGCTACTTAGTAATTATGTATCTATTTATCTAATACATCATTCCAATAGCTTGCATATACTCTTATTTCACAATTTCAAATTTTTTTAAACTATTTTTCTTTTTGTATTTACATTTTATTATTTACTTGCACTATATGTTTCTGTTTATCTGTATTATTTGTGTTGCACTGTTGGAGAAGCCTTTGACCTAAGATTTTCATCGACATAACTACTCTGTAGCTATGTTCGTTTGACAAATAAAGAACCTTGAACCTTGAATATAATTTGCTTATTGAAACATAACACTTACACTATACTCTTTATGGAAGAAGAAACTTGGATCCTTACAGGTTGTTTAGCCTATTTACCTCTACTGTAGTGTCTTCTTTAAACATGCATTCAAGGATGTTATTGTCATGTGTACATAGCTACAGTATAGATATATCAATGAAAATCTTAGGTCACAGACTCCTAGTGCTGGGGGGAAACGATTATTTTGAAAACGATTAATCGGGCGATTATTTGATCGATTAGTCGACTAATCGAACGATTATTTTTCTGTTGTTCAATTCATAAAAAACGTAATGTAAAACAATTTTTTTTCACGATACTGTGTCTCAGGGGATCTTAATATTTAAGAACCTATTAATGTGTTATACCAGATTAACGGAAATAATCTCAGCTAACTGACGATACAAACCATGTTTACCAAAACAAAACACAAGTCTCATAAGAAGCATCTAAATGACCCCTGAGCGAAAAATGCTAACGGACATTGGCACAGATCTCAAGATAAAAGTACCCTTATTACTTATCGTAGCTGCACATACAATATATCCGATTAAAGCTGAGACTCCACAGATTATGTAGGTACATAGTATCATCACTGAGTGATCCGGGCTCGCGACAGGGGAAGCAAATATAGTCATCACAACACGTACCTTCACAGAGCTTCTAGGGAGATCGTCTCACCGCCGTAGCTGTCAATCTGATCAAAATACGTGTTCAATGAAATTCAAATGAGAAAAAACGCGGCTGAATCGGTTAATCCATAGGTTTTTAACGTCTATGTATAAAAAAATTATTGAATTTATAATCCATAATTCCATTTTAAATCGGAGAGCAAATGCTAGCTGCTAATGGTTGCCACCACAGCTAGCTGCTGCTTCCGGTCAAGCAGCAGTCTCAGTGAGATATACATATATAAATATCTTTGCGTTTTGGACTAACTTTAAAATATTCCCATGCTTTTGAAGACCTGGGGCGAGATGTTTTCGTTTGAGGGCTTCGTGCGCAATCCTGTGAGGAGGAGTTGGTAGCCGTTTCAGTCTCCATTGTGTTAGAAGTGCGATTGCGAACTGCTTGTTGCTTTGGGTGACCCACGTGTGTGTGGCGTCATACAGTCTATGGTGGCGACGCGTCGACGCGGAAATATGTCGTCGACGATATTTTGAAGTCGACGACGTCGACGCGTCGCTACAGCACTACAGACTCCTCCAACAATGCAACACAATAAAGCAGATAACATAGTTAAAATAGTAAATACAAATAAAATGGAATAGAAAGAATAGAAACACAAGAGATCCGCTAGTGGACAAAACCAACACATGCTTTTACTTAATGAGACCTGCATCAAGCATTATAAAACATTTCAAGGATAAAAACATCTGTTTTTCTAAATGATTAACTGACTGATGACTTACAGACTGAAAACGTTTTATTTCAGCTTCTCATGCTGTTACAGTGCTGAGTGGCACGCAATAGTAAAGCCATATGTGCATGGAAACTGGTGGTAAGAGTTTACTGGGAACAGCTTGACAGGTTACAGTGTGCTGCTCTGAAGTGTGTGCCGGGACCACCTGACCCTCACCACTGAGTCTGCCCAGTGTGATCAGCCTGTAAAATATGAAGCCATAATGATAAAACCAACCGACTGGAAATCTCTCAGACGTTGCTTTTGACGTTTCAGACAGTTTGTGGTTTGGATCCATTAAAAAAATACCTTTCTCCTCCTCAGAGTGCAAGAGATATCGAGTCCAGGATGAGGAACGAGACCAGATTGAAGCTGTTCACCCTGGACCCCGACACACAGGTAAATAAACCTAAAGCACATTTTAGTTCACTTAGTCCCGTGTGGAAATGAGATCCAACCTGACACTTTGTAATTAAATGAAATACCTTCCATTGTGCTGTCTTCAGAAACTAGATTTCTCAGGGATAGAGCCGGATGTGAAGCAGTTTGAGGAGAAGTTTGGAAAGCGTGTGCTGGTGAACTGCAATGACCTCTCATTCAACCTGCAAAGCTGTGTGGCCGAGAACGAGGAGGGACCCACCACCAACGTAAGGCTGATCTCTCTCTGGCCACAATAGGCCCTAAATAACAGAAATAGCATTATCCGGCTGACTAAAGACGCAAGAGACGCGTTGAGCAGCCGGATGAACTCCTGTCATTATTTGAGCCGCGGAAGGACTGTTGTTGGCATAGCAACCAGGCTAGAGGCTCAGTAATGGTTGGCAATCTGTATAAGGGAGCCTGATGTCCTGCTCTCTCTCCTTACAGAAACAGTCTATCAACATGTCAAAACAACACACACACACACACACACACACACACACACACACACACACACACACACACACACACACACACACACACACACACACACACACACACACACCACACACACACACACACACACTGTTCAACGACTGTAAGATGACATTTATTTTATGGAGTTGTATTTTATTTCATTTTTAAATGTATTTTCCTTTATTTCATTTTAGTAAAGTAGTAATATATTTAGAGTTTTACATTTTGTGTAGATGTGAAACTAAACTACGCTGAAAATAACACTTTGTCTGTTGGGTCATTCATTATTTAGTTTGCTGAGTGAAACGTTGCATGTAACACAGTTAAGTGATTGTGAAAGTGTATGCTATCTAGAGTCCTGTTTTACAGCTGTTGGAGCACCTATTAAGTTTTAATTTTAATGCAGTTCCTATGTTCTTTAAGTTATAGTGTGTAAGCAGCCTGGTTGACAAAATGCACAAGTTAAAAAATCAGCATCATCCGTACAATACTCAATTGCTACTCTCTTTCATTTCCAGGTGGAGCCATTTTATGTCACCCTGTCACTGTTTGACATCCAGAACGGCAGGAAGATCTCCTCGGACTTCCACGTGGACTTAAACCATCCGTCTGTACGAGGCATGCTGCCCAGTAACACCAGTCAGTATATGAACGGGGGAGGGGACACCCACCCTGAAGGGCAACGGTTAGTCTATGGGGTGCCAGAGGCAGCGATGCAGTATCCGAGACAGGTACAGAAAATACAGAGTTAAACTTTAAAACATCCATGCTTGTGGCTCTGACACTTTACTGTACACAGTGACACTTTGGACAAAATGCTTGTCAGCATGCTAACAATGACATACTAACACCCTGATGTTTAACTGGTATAATGTTTACCACCTTTTTTTGCAAATGAACACTTACCACATCAAATTATTTTTGTTTTGCAGCTATTTAAAACCACTAGGAAAACATCAAATGTAGACCTTATGATTGTACTATACAGGAAAGGAGGGGGTTCACAAAAGTTATTACAAATGATGTTGTAGGGGAATTTCTTAGAAACTACAAATGTGAAGTCTTTAAGATTAATCTACTGATGTACATACATGTATATTTTATGACAGTCATTCAGCCAATAATTGTTAGTTATGTCCTAAGAAACAGAAATTGCCATCTCTAGAATAAACAAAACATCATAATTGCTCTTCCCAACATAAATGTGTCTCCTGTTTTATATTCAAATGTGAAAGTGGAAATTCTAACATTTTCATGGTCTCCACAGGGTGTATTCTCAGTAACGTGCCCCCACCCAGATATCTTCCTGGTGGCTCGCATAGAGAAGGTGCTGCAGGGAGGAATAAACCACTGTGCCGAGCCGTACACCAAGAGTTCAGACTCCACCAAGGTACTGACCCTACCCCGAACTCCCTTCACTGTCCTCAACACGGGGCAGCAAGTCTCCCAGACTCAGCAGATTCCACCATATTATTCCACATTATACACAGATAATCATCCTTGTTTTTAAGTGCTGACCAGTTGCACAAAGACGTCTAACACAAGCATTGACTTTGGCTGAACAAATGTGGTTGTGCCCCCTGAGGGGACCGTGGTGTGGAGTAATGAGATTCAGTTCAGAAAAATGTGCTTTACGTCTGTGTGGCAGCGTGCTGAATATGTTACAGTGCTGCAGGGCTTAGAGTGTGTCGAAGTGATGAAGCTCAGCTCACACTGTGTTCATGTTTTCCACTAGGTGGCACAGAAGGTCCTGAAAAATGCAAAGCTGGCATGTTGCCGGCTGGGCCAGTACAGGATGCCTTTTGCCTGGGCAGCAAGGTATTTATTCTCTTTTTATTATTAATCATTACGTTTTTTCCATCAGTTTTCAGCAACATGTTCTGTGTACTTTACACCAGAACCACAGCCCATACAAACACACACAGTCACAGTAGTGATGTGAATGCTTAAAACATAAATCAAATATCATAGTATTATATAATTAAATACAATTGATACTAGATAGTGAAAAATTAAGCACTGACAATTTATTCTCACTCAAAAAAAATATAAATATTTTTGTTATAATTAAACATTATTTAATAATTCTAATCATTGGGGGTTATTTTCAATAACACATTAACCATATGGATAATTAATTGATTTGTTTTTTACAGAAGAAATAACACTATGTTTAGCTTCTGAAATGTGAAGATTGGCTGCTTTCTGTTTTATATCAGTATACATTTAATTTGTTTTAAATGTCTCATTGCTGCTCTAGGAAAATGGGATGGATGTTTTTTAGTAGTTTGGTTTTTGACAAACTAAACAATTAATTGGTTAATCGAGGAAATATATAGATTAATAAAATATGGTACTATGATATGATACCTAGTACTTTTTCTTTTCAAACAGTTTACATGAGGGTGTTCAGGACAATAAAAACCTTCCTGACTCTTGTTCTTCCTTCTTGCAGGACTTTGTTCAAAGATGCTTCAGGGACATTGGACAAAAGTGCTCGTTTCTCCCCTCTCTACAGACAGGACAGCAACAAGCTCTCCAATGACGATGTGCTCAAACTGCTGGCTGATTTCAGAAAGTTAGTATTCCTCAAAGGAAACCGTAGAAGTAGTCTTACAGATGTTCTGGAAAGGCAAATATGGAACACAAATGTTGTTGGGTTTTAAAAAGTTAGATGTTTGCCCACATCTGTGAATGTGGTGTGTGTGTATTATATACTATTTGAAGATGATAGCAAAGGCTTAACTGGAGTTTATTTTCTCTTCCTCAGGCCAGAGAAAATGGCCAAGCTGCCTGTAATCCTCGGAAACCTTGATGTTACTATTGACAATGTAGCCCCCGACCTGACAAGTAAGGCCTCTGAATGTGTTCCTTGCGGCCAACATGAGAGATGAAAGCTGTTCCTGCTCACAGCAGATCTGTCACGATGTCTGCAGGCTGATTATTTGGTCTCTTCTCCCCCCTGCTTCTGTATATAGATTGTGTTACCTCATCCTACATTCCTGTGAAGCAGTTTGATGTCAGCCAGAAGACCAACATCTTCTTTGAAGTGGAGGAGTTTGTGCCGTGCTTAGCCAAATGTTCTCAGCCTTTCACCATCTACAACAATCACCTCTATGTGTACCCGAGGCACTTGAAGTATGACAGCCAAAAGTCATTTGCAAAGGTAACACAAATCTTTCATTTGTAGGTTAATTGACACAGGAGGTGGATATTTGAGGATTTTGTCCTCCATATGTTGCCTTACAGTTTTCTGTTAAACAGTCAAATTAAATATTATTACTGGAACGACTTTCCCTTTTTCTTGTCGTCTAAAGTAACAGCACCTCTTCACTAATAGTTTGGCTAACTGTGTCTGTTTTGTCTTTCTTTAGGCTAGAAACGTAGCTGTCTGCATTGAGTTCAAGGACTCAGATGAGGAGGAGGCTGTTTCACTAAAGGTAAACTCAAATCATTCCTGGACGTTTTTCCAAATCCAAAAAAAGCAAAACTCTCCAGTCACAGGAGCCAACTAACTTTTATTATTATTATTATTCCACAGTGCATCTATGGCCGACCTGGAGGACCCTTGTTTACCAAAAATGCCTTCGCATCAGTATTGCATCACCAGCATAACCCTGAGTTCTATGATGAGGTAAGACACACTGCAGTAAATGTATAAAAACAAAAAGTTAAGTCCATATAATCAAATACTGAATGTTTATCTCTTATTCCTTAGTTTAAGATTGAGCTGCCAACCCAGCTCCACGAAAAACACCATCTGCTCTTCACCTTCTACCACGTCAGCTGTGAAAGCAACAACAAGGCCAGCACCAAAAAGAGAGACCTGGTTGAGACTCAAGGTAACACACTGAAACCAAATCTCGAATAATTGTTCATAGCGTTGCCAGATCACAAAAATACCTAAAAAATATCTGTGTTTTGTAAATGTTGACTGCCTTGAAACATCAGACTTTGACTTTGCCTTGGTCTCCTCTCTCAGTGGGATACGCCTGGCTCCCCCTGCTGAAAGATGGCCGGGTGACCATGAATGAGAGTCAGATCCCTGTGGCTGCCAACCTGCCTGCTGGATACCTCGGCTGTCAGGAGGGGGCCAGCAAGGTAGAGAAGTGAAGCAGTGATGGCTTGGCCTCAAAAGTTAATGTGCTGAACTCTTATTTTCATTATTTAGTGCAAAACTGATTTAATAATATGTTTTGGAGATGCCAAGCCAAAAACCAAAACCTCCAATAGGAAAAATCGATGTTTTATGTTGACATGAACTCACTGCAGGATATATTCTGAGTTATTGAAAGAAAGATTTGTCTTTGTGTTACAGCATTCAGGACCTGAGGTCAAATGGGTGGATGGAGGCAAGCCTTTATTTAAGGTTGCCACTCACCTCGTGTCCACTGTCTACACTCAGGTTAGTTCGGTTTTCAACAAACTGTGAGTGTAGTTCCTGTCTGATCTGCATACCTTCTTACTTTGGATGTGGATTCAATTAAACGCAGTTTAATGGAATAAACGTATACAGTCTGACCTTCTTTTTTTTCTCATAGGATCAACATTTGCACAATTTCTTTGATCACTGTCAGAGCACTGAAGCTGCGCCCCAGGGAGGAGAATTGGTCAAATACCTGAAGGTAAACCAATAAGAATTAAGCCATTCATTTGGTACAAATAGTAACTTAAATGCATGCCAATTGAGATAACGTAAAACATGTTATTTGTTTTTATCAAACAAAATGTGTAGACCTTGTGTCTTTATTAAAGGCATTATTGCTTTATTTTAGGTAAATTAATTGGTAAGCATTCTGTGTACATGCTTGAAATAGCTTTTTTTTGTGCTACACTGTGTGGGCTATGTTTTAAACCACAATCATTAATGTTGACATAAAGTCTACTTTTCTATTTTGGCATATGCTGTGTAACTGAGTGCACAAGGATGAATAAATGTATGATTGGGAATTAACTCTGAACAGAATGGTATTTGATATATCTGTAAGGGAAAGGTCAGAACTGTCTTCTCAATTTTATGTTGTTGCTAACCGTAGCTCATACTCCCGTAAAACCGCAGACAGTCACACTTGGTTAGAGCTGAACAGCAGAGAGATTAATGTTCTGCTTTATGCTGCGGCTTGCCAACAGTGCATTCTTCTGGACAGTTTGGGAAGAGATTTTTCTCCTTTTGCCATGGTAGCTCGGGATTTTTTTCCATCTCATACTCTTATTCCAGTCCTTGGGAATATCAGTTCATTGTTCCCCTGGCAGAGATAGACATGCAGAGCAACACTTGGTCCAATGCATCTCTTGGGTGCAAATGTAAACACAGCAGAGAACATGAACAATAGCCAGAGGGTCAAACAGCAGGTCAGCCATGTTGATTGGCAGCTCTCCAAATGACTTGGCAGCGCCTATGTTAGTTTCCTGTACACGAATATGATGCTCCAGTATCTTAACTGTTATGTTAACGGAAACTGAAGCATACGCTGTGGGTAATTAGCAGATTGTTTTTCATCTATGTCCTCTTCCTCCCCTTGTTGCTATTAGATTCGTTTTTTTATATATTCTTTTTAGCCTTCTCTGCTCTGTTTTTAAGTGGTGCTAGAAAATTATTTCATTGCTTTCCCCACGTATTCACCTCATTATACATGCACTCAATCTCTGCATAAACATATATCTGCAATGTTTTACCCTCAGAGCCTGCATGCCATGGAGAGCCATGTGATGATTAAGTTCCTACCCACCACCCTGAATCAGCTCTTCAGGGTGCTAACCAGTGCCACCCAGGAGGATGTAGCAGTCAATGTAACCAGGCAAGTTTACCGGGGATAATCCTGTTCTTGCTGTAAAGTGTCTCTACTGTAGGCTATTTTTATTTTATGTACAGCACTTTGGCTCGACCAAAAATCGTTTATAAATGTGCTATATAAATAAAACTTGATTTGATTTGATTCTTAACAACATCATAAAAATCAAGTTGTTTATGTTAATAACAATACACAAGTTGATATATCGCACTTAAATGAATATGATTAAAATGTCAAAAGAAAACTCTGAAGATGGCTGATATTCATGGGAATTTAATAAATATCAACATTTATTTCCATAAACTATTAATAAGTGATGCCTCCTGCTGTGTCAGCTTCTTTCAGGACCATATCCTAACACACATTTTGTTTTGCAATTGTTTTGTTTCAGAGTCATGATTCACATTGTAGCCCAGTGCCACGAGGAGGGGTTGGAGCACTACCTGAGGTCATATGTAAAGGTAAAAATCACAAACCATATGTCACATTTCAATGTCTATATGTTAGTGCTTGTACTCAAAGTTCTTTCTGCTTGTGTCACCTACAGTTTGTATTTAAGTCTGAGCCACAAACATCCTCCTCCAACCGATTAGTGCACGAGGAGTTGGCTAAAGCCATGACTGCTATCTTGAAGCCTTCCACTGACTTCCTCACGAGTAACAAACTCCTCAAGGTAACATATTTCTACTTTTTAAAGAGTATATGGTGTGTGATTATAACTGCCATGAATGTCCTCTTTATTGTTTTCTGATTGATGTTTGTCTGCCTCGCAGTACTCCTGGTATTTCTTTGAAGCCTTAGTGAAGTCCATGGCTCAGTACTTGATAGAGAGCTGTAAAGTGAAGGTAAGTCTGCCACAACATGTGTGTGTTTGACTCAGGGTGTCTGTTTCATAAAGGCTTAGGTTCTTTACTGTGGTTTACAACCTGCCACGTCTTGTGGACAGCCGCAGTACCACAGTCAAAGTATTATGTATCCACAGACTATCCCACACTACTGTGCAGTTTTATTGGCTGCATTTGTTCGTACCCCATAAGCAACCACATCCCCGTGTCTAACTGCCTCTGGCCTCTTAAGTGGAGGCCTCAGTGGAGACTGTGAGCTTAGGGTTAAAGTACAAGGCTGGGGATATTCTGTACTACAGACAAATCCTGCTAAAGACCAAAGTGTCATTGATTGATTTTGACAAAAAAGAGGTATATGGCACAGAGAGATAATATTTTAAGTGGGCACTTTAGGCCATGAACAGAAACCAATATTTGGCTAATTCTGTCTGTTTCAACTTTACTCATTCTAGAGATTTTCACATCATAATATAAGTGGGGACTTGTGCCACACATTAGATATACAAAGTACTTTGAACTTTTTGGGTTAGTTATAGGCAAACTTAGAAATGTCATTTGTTTAGTGGTCTAGAAACCCTTATTTGCAGTGTAATAGGTTAACAACTATTAATTGACTCCTGTTTTCTCCTTGACTCCTTATATAATTTGTTTGTATACAGCCTACAATCATAAACATTTGGTCACCCATGGTCTACACAAGCAATATATGTTTTTATGAATTGTTGATGTTGGTCTTTTCATTGGAAGTATTACCATACTACTCTTTTAAACTGGGGTGTTTTATGGTATATAATACCTTTTGTACGAACTTGTGTGATGTGTTCTGCAGCTGTCCAGGAATCAGCGCTTCTCAGCAGCCTTCCATCACACTGTGGAGACTCTGGTCAACATGATGATGCCACACATCACTCAGAAATACAAAGACAACCTCGATGCTGCCAGGAACGCTAACCACAGTCTGGCGGTCTTCATCAAGGTTAGGGGCTACAGTAACTGTATCTGGCATGGTTTTAACCGTGTGTTTTAAAATGTACGAGTGTATATTTATTTATTTATTTATTCTTCCCCATCCTCCTGTAGCGCTGTTTCAACCTGATGGACAGAGGCTTTGTGTTCAAGCAGATCAACCACTATTTCAACTGTTTTATGCCTGGAGACCCAAAGGTACACAGTACAAACAGTTACAGATTTTATACTAACACATTTGGAGACAAGTTTTGTAATATTTCTTGCGAGCGCCCTAATGAAGGATTTCAGGGTGTGCTTCAGGCAAGTTTTGGACAAGTTTGTGTTTGAGTGATGTATTAAAGCGGCCTCCCTGGTTTCTGTCTTTTCTGAATGCAGACGCTGTTTGAGTTCAGGTTTGAGTTTTCTGCGAGTGGTGTGCAACCACGAGCACTACGTCCCCTTAAACCTGCCCATGCCTTTTGGAAAGGGAAGGATAATGAGATTTCAAGGTGAGGAGATCATCAAATGTACATGATGTTGAAGTACCATGCCTGATGGTAGTGTGCTTAAATGCCAGTTCGCTAACATTGCATGTGTTTGAGTAGAAAAATATTGAAATCAAACCAAAAGTGGTTTACGCTACAAAACTGTAAAAAAGCCAGCAAAAATGTTAAAGCTGTACTTATTTTTATCTAATGGATATAAAATAAAAGTGCATTTACAAAGCAGTGAAACAGGTTTTCTGCAGTCTTTAATTCTACAGAACATGCTTTGTCCTTTTTGTGTTCCTCAATTAGCTTTATTATCTCCAAATGATACGGTGGAGTCATGTGATACTCTAGTAGGTAGGTGTGAGGATGTGCTGCTTTCATGTCTGCTCCAAAAAGAGCAGACTCCAATCTAATCATTCAATCATGATCAGAGAAGGTCACACGATTTGCTCCAAAATCTGAACTTAGTCACTTATTTCCAAATGTTGCTTCATCCTTATGAGGTGGCAGTATTTATCTATTTTCTAACACTTTACAGAAAGATACTGATTCATAATTTGTATGTGTGTATAAGCTGAGAGTGCAGATATGGGTGATTAAGTGTGCAGTTAGTATTTTAAATCTTAAATTGATTTGGAGTTAATAACTAATGATTACAATGATTCCAAAATACCTTTTTTTAATGATTAGACAAAACGGTGCGTTTAACTTGATTTCACCGCCATTCTGGGAGATCTTTTTCTGATTTGGGATGCTTTACTTGTGTTTGATATTGTTGGAAATCAAAAGCTTTTATTCTATTTGTCTTTTTCAAAACAATCACTGTTGATGTGGAGCAGCAGCTCTGTTACACAGCCTGAATCTGTCAACACAAAACGTCATATAGATCAATAGCTGAAAGCATCCAATAATTAATTGTCATAATATTTTTTTTTTGCCAGCATTTAATAGCATCAATAATCTGTAGCTCGTCCAAGCTTTCCTGTTTTCTGGTCAATTTTATTTGGTCTGATTGATGTTCATTTAGAAATGTACTCATTGAACCTTTCACATCCTTCACTAACCTCTCTGTCATCCAAACCTAATCTATGTGTCCTCGTCTCTCTCCCTCAGACCTCCAGATGGATTACTCGCTGACAGATGACTTCTGTAAGAACCACTTCCTGGTCGGGCTGCTGCTCAGGGAGGTCAGTACAGCTCTGCAGGAGTTCAGGGAGATCCGTCAGATAGCCATCCATGTGCTGAAGAACCTGATGATGAAACACACATTTGATGAGCGCTACTGCTCCAAGGTAAGCCGAGGCTTCGTACCTCCATCTCTTGACATCTACTTCTCTTCAGTGTTTGACGTGTGTGACCCTGAGATATTTTGTTGAGATGATTTATTTGTTTTGCAGAGCCAGCAGGCCAGGTTGGCCACCCTGTACTTTCCCTTGTTTGGTCTGCTCCAGGAGAACGTCAACAGGCTGAATGTGAAGGAAGTATCTCCATTCACCGTCAACCACTCCAACAATGTAAGGGCGCCTCCTAGTGGCTTCTTTTTGACATTGCATTTAGCATGCTCAGCAACACATATCTGTCAAAAATACAGCAATGATATATATGCTTTTAGCACAATAAAGTATATTCAGTTATTTTTAATAAACACTTTTTAACATCTGCATCATATCTTTTTAACAGTTTGGATTTCATTATAACAAAACAAAGGGTTTCTTTACTGTTACTAGGCCATACTGAATCTTTAAAACATTAATCTGCTAACTGAAATGACCAACCAAAGACATGTTAGGACCTACGGAGCCCTCATAAGACTAACAACTTATATGTATGTACTAGTTTTCCATTTCTTAATACATCCCCATATAATATATGTGTTTTTCTTTAATCATTAAACTGTTGTTTCTCCTCAGAATGGAAAGGATGATTCTCTTCTTACCAACATCTTGATGACACCTCCCAGATCTAGCACCTTTCTGGACACCAGCTTGCACAAAGATGTTTTTGGAGTCATCTCTGGCACATGTGAGTGGACAGATGATCCTGAAAATCAATAAATATATAACATTTTGGTTTTATGGAAATATAAAACTGCTCTTTTTTGTTTTTGATAGCTTCACCTCACACATCGTCGACGCCCAACATTAACTCTGTTCGCCACGCAGACTCTCGTGGCTCACTCATCAGCACTGACTCTGGAAACAGCCTACATGAGAAGCACAATGACAAGAGCAACTCCCTGGACAAGGTAACTCCCAGAAAGTGCTGCAAGAGGCTGTGAGAGTCATTTCATACAAAATGTATTAGAAATAAATTGTAGGCTCCTGTGACATTGTTTTCAGTGTGCCTAGACATAACAGAGTTGTGTGACAAAAGTACCCCAGAAAGTCACCTATTGTTAACTTGTACCATTAACTCCCCCACCTAATCTGGTTGTGGCAGACGGAGAAGTTTTTACGGAGACACTCTGTCAATGTCCTGCGCTTCTTTATGGAAACTGATGAGTCCATGCTCTCCCTGCGCTCCAAGCGTGTCACCATGGACTTCTCCCTGCTTTCTGTCCCCTGTGTGCCAGAGAGCGCCCTGCAGCCCATCATTTCACTTCAAGTACAAAAGTCCTCATCCCTCTTAGGAGTGTCCCATCTGGGAATGTTAGAGTGTGTGTGAGTTTCCTAAACCCTAAGCCCTTTCTTTGCCAGATGATTCTCAGGCGTTGGCCTGTTTGTTCTCTGGTACCATAAAGCAGAGATTCTGTTCAGGGCCTCACAGGGTTTGTTTTTGCTTTTTTTCCCAGATGTTGATAAGCATGCAGAGTTAAGGGATTTTCCCCTTTTGAGTTCCTCTCACGTGTGCTGTGTCATTTTTCTGCTTTCACTAAAGAACATCAAAACTAAATCTGAGAAGAAGTCCTTTGAACACAAACCATTTTAACTGTCACTGTCTGTGTTTGTGATGTTTATCTTCTATTAAACATCTTCTGTTTTTACATGCGATAGATGCTGTGTGTGTAAAGGCTAAAGGGGAAAAGGAGGACACTCAAGTCATGTGTTATTATTGCTCACATTTAAATGAAACTGACTCCACCACAGCTTTATAGTTTGTATCCACCTTTCCGAGAAAACTATCTTTAGCCCTGAAGTAATCACTCTCCAAAATAAGAAGCTGAGGCCATGGCTTCATGCTTTCCATTAAGTCATCCCCAGCCAGTTTCATGGTCTAGAGTAGACTAACTGCTGGCAAAGGAACGTGCTTGATGCGTGGCCAACCCCTCGCTGTGGTAGAGCGGCTGCTCCACTGCTTTGGTTTTTCTCCCTCCTCTCTGCTTCAGCTGGGAGAAATGCTGTTTGTTTTCCACCAGCAGTTTTTTTTCCACGATGCATAGAGCCCTGCAACATCTGAGTGAATGACAACTAGTGTAGTTTGAGCACAGAAATCCCAGGCCATCAGAAAAAACACTCACCCTCAATGTAGTTAATGCAATACAGGTTCAAGCCTCAGTTGTCTCTTGATGTTGGACAATTACCACAAAACTGGATATGAAATATTTCTAATTGCCATGGAGAATTCCATTTTGAAAATCACACAATAAAAACTCCCATTTAGTTTCTGTAGACAGAACTTGTGGTTTATCTTAAAACAGCAAAAGGAGAAAGACAGAACAAAGAGCCCTAAAACAATAATATATTTATTTATATCTACAGTATCTGACCCTATTCTTTGTCCCTCAGAACCAGGCTGCTTCAAACCTGGGCAGTTCCCTGCTGCGATGTGATAAACTGGACCAGGCAGAGATCAAGAGCCTCCTCATGTGCTTCTTACATGTGCTCAAAAGCATGTCTGAAGGTAACATCTCTCTCCTAAATAAATGCACTCACCATCTTTCTGTCTTGATATTTGAACACTCAACTTACTCGCATGTCTACATTAACAAAACAAATTGTCTCTTCGATGTCAATCTGTCTTTTTCCAGATGCTCTGTTCACATACTGGAACAAGGCTTCACCTGCTGAGTTAATGGACTTCTTCACTCTAGTCGAGTAAGACGTCTACTATTGCTTTCATGACATTGTGAGTAAAGCTTATGAATATATTGTGACTGATTTTTCACTTTCCTTTTCTTTCAGAGTGTGCCTCCATCAGTTCAAATACATGGGGAAGAGATACATTGCAAGGTAATGTTGTTGTTAGTATCTGAATCTGGTTCATTAATGTCATTCTTGAAAGTCTTTTTAAATCAAATGTATTGATTGATTTACAATGAAAATGTTATTCATATTATTAAAAAGAGATTCTCCACAATTGTTTCAAGAAAACTCCCTGGCAACTCCAGCAATAGTCAAAGCGCCTTGGATGGAAACTGCAGTTCTAATAGATACATATTATGATGTCTTTTTTAAGATATATAGATAGAATACCTTAACATAATGATACAAATAAATGAAATTCTGGTGTCCATTTAAATGTCTATGTCTGACATGATGTAGCTACTTATTTTCTTCATTTTAAATCACCCAGTGTAAAACGATTCATAATGTGTGACAAAGGGTGTGACTTTATGTTGAGTGTTTAAAATCCAACACACACACACACACTGTACTGACTCCACCATGGGGGAGCTCTGGCCTCAACTCCCAGAGGGCTTTGGGTGTTCACTCTCTCTAACCTCCCACCACTCTTTCTATCTCTATTCGTTTAAATGCTGGCAAGTTTAACACAATGAAATAAAACCTGGCTCCTGCCCTCTCCTGCTTGGGTAAGACTAAAGGTGGAACTGACTCTCAACCTTAATGCATGATGTTTTTTCACTCGACACAAGTTTCAGTGCTGTGAAACAGCAACTGGCTTTAAAATCATCTAAAGCATTTGTCTCTGTTCACCTAAGTGCATGACGTTTTCTGTAACTCACTGCTCGAATGCTGCTTCTGCTTGATGATTGAACTGCATGGAATACAATATAAACCGGACAACTTCACTGCATGATCGAATAATATCTTTCTAATTATGATACATTTAAAACTCCTAAGTTAAATATTTAACTAGACCAGAGGTTTGAGTATGAGTCTGGCCTCCCCACGAGGAGTCAGAACTGTATAAGGGGGACGCTCACTGAATTTAAGTGGAAACATATTACATTTGGTTAAAGAGATAGTTTAGAGATACAGTAGCTTTGGGGAAATGTACTATTTGTCACACTTTCCCAGGGTCAGAAGCTAATAAATACATTAGGACAGGCCTTTTTTTAATGCATTTTGTGTAGTCTTGTAGTCAATGGATGTGTGCATATGGGATCAAATAACTAAATCATGACTCAGCAACTCAGCAAGTAAACTGAGTAACCAAACTAAGTGAACTAAGTGGAGTATTAGGTATTAGACTTAGAAAAATAAAAACGTTTGAGTAGTATTTACCCTACTCAAGTGTCAAGAATAGCGTATTATTCACCCTAACCTGCTTCACTAACCGGCCATCCGTCTAACATTGTCCTGTTTCCTCATCAGGAACCAGGATGGGGCAGGACCCGTAGCACATGAGCGGAAGTCTCAGACTCTGCCTGTGTCCCGTAACAGGGCGGGAATGATGCATGCCCGCTTACAGCAGCTCAGCAGCCTGGATAACGCAAACACTTTTAACCACAGTAAGTTCTCAATACTTGTCATCAAACCTCCACCAGCTGACCACCGCCCTCCGCCTCACTCTGTGTAATCTCCTCATGCTTTTTAATATCATCAACATCATTCTCATCCTCTGTTTAAACCCAGCTCGCTGAAAAGGCCTCAGAAGACATACATTAGATCTAATGAGGGTTAAGTCGTGTGTGGCATTATATTGGTATTATCCACAGGGCTTAATCTCTCAGTCTGTTAAATGGCATGATTTAACACAGTTTCTTTGTGTTTTCAGTGTAAGAAAGATTTCAAGTATTCTTGGAATATCTGTAGACCATGGTAAGAATGTGTCAGGTTGGCAGGCAGTTTGCAGACTGGCTTTGTTCATTTGGTTTAAATTAAGAGCATGCCTACTTTATTAATATAACTGGACATTAGCCTTCAAAATCTTTCCATTCCTCTGGTCAGCACATCTGCTCTGAACCTCATTTTACACTTCATTTTCTGACCAAAAAAAACTAGACCATGTAAAACATGAAGGGTTTCATTCCAAAATGAGTATTTCATAAAAAATATGATATATATATATCATATTTCATTAAAAGATAATATGTTGACACTAAATTATTGCTACAATTTGTACACATCATATGTGCCTCACCAACTAATTACGATTCATTGTACAGAAGGTGTTAATTTTGTAGAGAACGATTTTTTAAGTTTGGAATGAAACTTAAGCTTTTCATCATATAATGACATTTTATAGCTTTGCCTTTAACACTCATATATACAGGTCTCTTATATTATCATATAATTTATGATATTTGAAAATGGTGAGGGTGAACCAACTACAGCTTTCTGTTTTATTTCCTTCAGCCTACAGTCACTCGGATGCAGACGTGTTGAATCAGTCTCTGCTGGAGGCTAACATCGCTACTGAAGTGTGTCTGACTGTCCTGGACACGCTAAGCATCTTCATCATGGGATTCAAAGTAACATACCTGACATTTTACTTGTCAAACATTTACTTAACTCATAAATTGAAATACAGTGTTTAGGTTTTACTAATGTATGTTTTGTATTACATTTAAATGTGATGTTCGGTTTCTGTGTTTTAAATGAGTTTCTGTAATAATACTCTCTTCCTCCACAGACCCAGCTGTGCTCAGACCACGGCCACAGTCCACTGATGAAGAAGGTGTTTGAAGTCCACCTCTGTTTCCTCCGGATCAATCAGTCAGAGACAGCCCTCAAGCAGGTCTTCACTTCACTGCGCACCTTCATCTACAAGGTGAGAAGGCGTTGATTTCCCTAGCAATACTCTGTTGTTGCTTTATGGTCTAAGGCTTGTTACTGACGATCTGTCTGTCTTCTTCACCCTCTAGTTTCCCTGCACTTTTTTTGAGGGGCGCGCTGACATGTGTGCTGCTTTCTGCTGTGAGATCTTGAAGTGTTGTAACTCCAAGCTGAGCTCCATTCGCAGTGACGCAGCCCATCTGCTCTACTTCCTCATGAAGAGCAACTTTGATTACACAGGGCGCAAGTCTTTTGTCCGGACGCACTTACAGGTGGGGATATATGGACTTTTGTCCAGAGGATAAAAAGAATAAATCTTTCATATTCACATTATTTCACCAAAATGATCTGGTGTTGTGGAAGACCCTGGGCCCAGTTTAACATCCCAAATAACAAACCTTAATGTTTTTTCAATCTTATACGTCATGCTTTTCCTTTTATTGTGAAATTAAAATTGTTTATTAATAGGGCCTTGAAGTGATGTACAGTAATGTTAGAAAAGTCACAGCAAAACCACAAAAATGCGTTAAAATCCTTTTTTTAATTAGTTTTAAACTAAACGTTTTTTCTTAAGGTCATAAGCCAAAGTGCAATTTGAATCTTTATTTTATTTACGTATTCAGTCTTAAGGTCTGTGGGGTGCATTAAACAATAAAATGTTATGACAATGTCAACAAAACACATGGGTTAAGTATAATTTAATAATGATTATAATGTGTGTCTTTCTCTTTCTTTAGGTGGTGATTGCTGTCAGTCAGTTGATAGCTGATGTGATTGGTATCGGCAGTACTCGCTTCCAGCAGTCTCTGTCGATAATCAACAACTGTGCGAACAGTGACAAAACTATAAAGGTCAGGAACTAATTGATGTGCATGAATATTTTCTGCTTCCACAGAAACAGTTGAATATATGTATGCTTAAACTAGCAATGCCATGACTGACTGTTCCCGTTTCTGCATCCTCCTAAACAGAACACAGCTTTCCCATCAGATGTGAAGGATCTGACCAAACGCATCAGAACGGTTCTGATGGCCACGGCTCAGATGAAGGAGCACGAGAGGGATCCAGAGATGCTGGTGGACCTGCAGTACAGCCTCGCCAAGTCTTACGCCAGCACGCCTGAACTACGCAAGACCTGGCTGGACAGCATGGCCCGAATCCACGTGAAGAACGGAGACATGTCAGAGGTCTGTGGTCAATGTAATAGACTTTAGTAGTTAGGTTTGTGTTGCGTGATCAAGTACTGACTGAATTTACGTTGTATTTGTCGAAGTTATTTTGGCTATTGTCACAGTATATGAGTGATTAGACCTATAATATAATTAATTCTATCACAATCACTATGTATGTTCTGACCTACGTTTTTCTTTGTTTGTTGACAGGCGGCCATGTGCTATGTGCACGTTGCAGCACTTGTGGCAGAATATCTTCGGAGAAAAGGTACTTTCATAATTTTCACTTGCATGCCATACAGCAGCTCTTTTTGTGTGTCTTGTGTGATTCTTATTTTCCTAAATTGGCTAATTGTTAAAATGTTGCCTCATCTTATTCTGTTTGCAGGCATGTTCAAACAGGGCTGCTCAGCTTTTAGAGTGGTGACTCCAAACATTGATGAAGAAGCAGCAATGATGGAGGACGTCGGCATGCAGGACGTCCATTTCAATGAAGTATGTAGAATATCATGAATTCATAGACAGTCTGTGGGATCAACATCATAACTTTATTTGATTACATTGTTATTCAGAAATATGCATTACAATGTAGCCTTGTCTTACAGATGCTGAGGTTGAGTTTACTTTTTGGAAAAGAGTATTTGCGAAGTGAATGCAATACAAACTCATTTGACATCTTATCTTCAGATCTATAATAATCCAGATTTAAAATAATAAACTATCATTGTAATAATAACTGTCTCTCTATAGTTTATCATAGATTTAGCTGACTAAATAGATACATTTCCTGAGAATCAAAGACATTTTGTTATTTTAAAATACATAATTAGTACTCTTATAATGACCATTTTTTTTTAATTACATGTCTTGTGATTTTGAGATCCTAACAAAAATGATGACAAACCATTTGTCTCATTGTCCTGATCACACACACATGTAAGCCCCACCTTACTTATCTTAATGAAGATGTGATTCTCCTCACATCCTGCAGTCCCCTTTAGTCCTGATAGAACAGGCTTAGCAGACCCAACACTTTATTTGAGTTATATTTCTGTTTCCCCTTCTCACGTTCCCTCAGGATGTCCTAATGGAGCTTTTGGAGGAGTGTGCAGATGGACTGTGGAAGGCTGAGCGTTACGAGCTCATCTCTGACATCTACAAGCTCATTATACCCATTTATGAGAAGCGCAGGGACTTTGAGGTACATTTAACTTTGTATCCTCCCACGACAATCCCTACTCAGTTGTGTGTACACATTCTGATCAAACTATTCTAATTACTTTGCACAGAAACTGGCCCACCTGTATGACACGCTGCATCGTGCATACAGCAAAGTGACAGAGGTGATGCACACAGGAAAGAGATTGCTGGGCACCTACTTCAGAGTGGCTTTCTTCGGCCAGGTGAGTTAAACAACCATAAGTGTTGTATAAAGCAGAGTATATTCTGTTTACTAGGGTGTTATGCGTCCAAACAGATGTACTGATTATTGTATTTCTGCTCCCACTCTATTGTATTTCAAGAAATAACACAATGATTAATTAGGTCGCTGGTGTTGCAAAGTAATGCACAATGACTCTGTTTTTTCTGTAGTAGCATAATCACATGCAGTGGCATTTTATGATCCGCTCTAATACCCCTTTCTGCTTTTTATCCTCTTTGAAGGCAGCGGTAAGTTGTAGACCTTGCTAGCCTTTCAGAGCAGCCTGAGTCTTTGTGTGGTTTTGCTGCTGCTGTAATCACTGCATTTCTCAGTCATAGTTTTCTGTTTACGATAACATCAGTCACCACTGATGCTTTCTGTTTTTGAAACTGAGCTGTATGGTGCTCTTTCACCTTTGCCCTGATACAAGTTTTTCTACTTTTGTGTTACAGATTTGTAGGACTTTTAGGTTTATAAATATTTAGTTTGATGTGGTTTTCATCTGATGGTGTTCTTTGTAGATCTTGACATGATGGTCATATTTGTGAATTGGTGTGAGTTGCAGTGTGTTGAATTTTTCATAGTTTGTAAGGAGTTGTCATGGAATAACAATGAATGTATTTTCTGCTGTCCACACACCCGTAGCAGTACCACTTTACAAACACAGAGGCTAAGGTAAATCAATATGAAAGCCATCATTGTTGTTAGACTGCAGTGATGTGTTAGGTTGTGTTGTGTCGGTGATATCTTATCTGTATATTGCTTATCTTTTAGCCTTTTACTCCTCCTACTGCAGTGTTGTACTAATCTGAGACCCTTATGGCGCGTTTCCACTGCAGGCCTCGCTCGGCCTCGCTCGGTTTGGTTAGGCCTTATTAGGCCCGGCTCACTTTAATGCTGCGCTTCCATTACAGTTTAGGAACTGGGGTAGTTACTATAGTAACGCAGTGTAGGCGGAGCCGTGACGTCATCTTCAATGAGTGCCCCAAAAAACAACACAGCCGTTAGCTCTTAGTACTCAGAGCTCACAGCTCCTCATATCTGTTGAGAAACTTGACAAAAGTTAAACAAGTACAAACCACAGACTGCCTGTGTCATGGCGAATATAGTCGCTGGTTTATTTATGTCTGTATAGGCCGTTGTTGTGAGTGTGGACGGTCGGAGCATATATAACGCTAGCCAAGCTCCATTTAGAAAGCACGCATTTTAAAAGGGTTTTTCGCCTGCCGTCTGTCTGCAGACTTGTCAAAGCATTAATTCATGGTTTTTACTAACCGGTATCAGTATGTTGTTACTTTGGCATCATTTTGAAACGTGTATTACAATTAAATCACGGTCAAATATGTTCATCTTGTTGTAGTTGTAGCCCCCTTGCCAGAGATTCTCTCTAGTTTAGCATAGTTTAGCCCGACTCAGGCTGGTTGTTCCTGGCCCTAGAACCACGATGTCACGAGGGCCAGAAAAAAGGTGAAAAAGTAGTCCCGGGCCAAAACTAGGCCAAGTGGAAGCGCAACCAAAAATGGGCTCGGCACGCTTAAAGCGAGCTACCCGCTGCAGTGGAAACGCGCCATTAGAGGGCTAATAGCAGGATTCACCTATCACTGGGTCATTACTGGATTCACCCATCTGTTCATGGGCCATTTGACCATTTACATACAAGACTGATCCAAGTGCTCCCACTGATAGTGTGAAATCTGTGCCCCCACCTGTGTTCTTTACTCTGTCTCATTGTATCGAACTGATACTGGTTGGTTTCTTGGAGTGGACTTTTCATTTTTCCTGTCTCCATGCTTGCACATTAGATAGAGGGTTGTGTGGATCCTGACGATATTTCAGTCCAAAGCTACTTGGTGGTAAAAAGGGGTCTACCATTTTATTTTAGCAAATTGTTTGAATCCATCCGCCTTCCTTGTTTGGCTTGATGTGGTTTCTTTATATCTCTTTAAATAGAAACAGTGTTTGTTTTTTACTCATTTTGGCCATTTGTTTTAGGGCTTCTTTGAAGATGAAGATGGTAAGGAGTACATCTACAAAGAACCTAAATTCACTCCTCTGTCAGAGGTATCTCAGCGGCTCCTTAAGCTGTACTCTGACAAGTTTGGACAGGAGAACGTGAAGATGATCCAGGACTCTGGCAGGGTAAGATTTTTAATGTGTGATGAGGATTGATTTATAAGATTATTAAAATGCAGGACTGATCTGTTGTGATGACTCGATTCTCTGCAGATTAACCCCAAAGACCTGGACTCCAAGTATGCATACATCCAAGTGACACATGTGACCCCTTACCTGGAGGAGAAGGAGGAAGTAGACAGGAAGACAGACTTCGAGAAGAGCCACAACATCCGCCGCTTTGTGTTTGAGATGCCTTTCACCATATCAGGCAAAAAGCAAGGCGGGGTGGAGGAGCAGTGCAAACGCAGGACGATACTAACCAGTAGGTAACCTTTAAATATACTGTGGGTGGCAGTGGTACATAAGCTTTTAAACGGCATCTCTTGGTCAATCAATCAATGTTTATTTATATAGCCCAATATTACAAATGTTACATTTGTCTCAGTGGACTTCACAGTTTGTACAGAATATCAGTATGACAATACGACACCCTCTGTCCTTAGACCCTCACATCGTACAAGGAAAAACTTCCGGAGAAAACCCACAGTTTAAAGGGAAAAATGGGAGAAACCTCAGGGAGAGCAACAGAGGAGGGATCCCTCTCCCAGGACGGACAGACGTGCAATAGATGCCGTGTGTAAATTGAAAAGATAATACATTTGCAACATAGGTAGTTCAAATGTTTGGAAATGCATGTGTGTATAATAGGAAGATGAATCCACAAGGATATCCATCCAGGACCTATGATCCAGGACCACAGCCACGACTCAAGATCCAGGGCTCGCTATCCAGGACACAGGACCGCAGGATCATCCATGACTCCGGATCCCAACATATATAGACACCAAAAAGAAAGACATTTGGGGAAGCTGGGTTAATCGGAACATGAGAGTACACAGGTATAGACAGAGAGAAGGAAGAAGTAAGATGTCCCCCGACAAACTAAGCCTATATCAGCAAAACTAGGGGCTGAATCTAATCAGCCCTAACTATAAGCTTTATCAAAAAGGAAGGTCTTAAGCTCACTCTTAAAAACGGATAGGGTGTCTGCCGCCCGAACACAAACTGGAAGCTGATTCCACAAATGTGGAGCTTGATAAGAAAAGGCTCTGGCTCCCATTGTACTTTTAGAGACTCTAGGAACAACCAACAACCCTGCATTCTTGGAACGCAATGCCCTAGTAGGACAGTAGGGTATAATGAGTTCTTTAAGGTAAGATGGCGCCTGCCCATTAAGGGCTTTGTAGGCGAGAAGAAGAAGAAGTGGTGCATGTTTGTGGATTTGCAAACAAAATATAATAAATAGCGTCAATATTGGTGCAGAACAGTCAGTGACACAGAATAGATTGTGTTAAAACGGGCTGAGTAGATCTCCTCATCACTAGGGAACTGATCCCAGAGGGAAAATAGACAATTTAGTGTGCATCGAAATCTGCGGTAAATGTTTCCCATTCCTCCCAAACTGTGGACCACCCTTTCCAATTGTCTGCCTATTGATACATTTTAAGTAAACGGGTTTTAAATAAGCACCATGTGAATGTCTGTCACGTGGGAATCCGTTGTTGAGGCATTACATAACTCGGCAGAAAGGTCCTGTGCATTCTTGGAAGATCTTGATTAAATTCTGAACATGTCAGCAGTTTGTCAAGGACTTCTTGTCCTAATCACAGTAATATTGTTTTATCATTCAAAAAGTCCAAAAGTTCAACCTTACACTCTTATCTTTATTATCTGACAGCTTTCGCAGATGCACTGTTAAACCGGAGATGTGAATCTCAGAAAGGCACATGCAAGAAGAAAAGATTCCCAAACTAAAGCCAGCTGTTTACCATATTTATTTTCCTGTTTCTTTCCCCCAGCCACGCATTGTTTCCCGTACGTAAAGAAACGTATCGCAGTGATGTATCAACACCACACTGATCTAAGTCCCATCGAGGTGGCCATCGATGAGATGAGCAAGAAGGTGGGCGAGATCAAACAGCTGTGTTCCTCCAGTGACGTGGACATGATCCGTCTGCAGCTCAAACTGCAGGGCAGCATCAGCGTGCAGGTGCCTGCTTTAAAATGTGTCAAAATGTACATGCACATATGTTCGACATAATCTGTTGTAATAATCATGAAAAAGAAAGCATGACATGACACAGCTCCTGCTTCCTCCCTCAGGTTAACGCAGGGCCGCTTGCATATGCACGAGCTTTCCTGGACGATGCATGCGCCAAGAAGAATCCAGATAACAAGGTCAAACAGCTGAAAGAGCTCTTCAGGTGAGATGAGATGTCAACGGGTTATTATGTGTGATTTGACTTTTTAGTGTAAAATTCATTAAACACACCATTTTTTTTGTTGAACAGGCACTTTGTGGAAGCCTGTGGCCACGGCTTAGGTATTAATGAGCGTCTGATCAAAGAGGACCAACAGGAGTATCACGATGAGATGAAAGCAAACTATAGAGACCTGGCCAGAGAGCTGTCAATCATCATGCATGAACAAGTGAGTTCAATTCTGCATTGCTAATAACTGTTAACTGTTAATGTGTGACTGCCATTCTTTAAAAGTAATAATGTGATTGAAAACATGCTCTTTAATAACACCATTCTGTGTTTTTCCCTTGTGCTTACATGAGCAGATTGGATGGTAATGCACACAATGCAATAAAGACTGAGTTGGTACTTGTTGATCCAGCCTGACAATGGGCATCTGTTTTCAGATATGATTTCAGATATTTTCAGATATTTCAGATATGTTTTCAGATACATCCTCAATGTTGACAGCTATTGGATGTTGCAATGTCCAACCATTTCAAATCCTGATTTCAAAGTCACTTTTGACCTATGTAGACCTTTCATACATTTCTAGAATCTGTCAAATTGGGTGATTGGCTTAATCATAAACCTCAGTTTACCTGTTCCTAACCTGCCAATTGTTAAACAAATATGTAAAACTCCAGCTATGGCCCTTCTATTGAACTTTAAAAGCACAGAATACATAGATAATATTCCTGAGTTATCTGATTGGATCACAGACAAGCCTTATCTTTACATGCCTGTAATAAATAAAGGAGCCTAACATTACGTATTGTCACACATTGAAGGCCTGCCCACTGTCCTTAAGAAAGGCTTAACCTCTTTAATGTGGAGGAAACTAAAAGTTATTTTCATAAACGATTTATCTAAAAAGATATTCAGTCATATTCAGTATTTTTCCTTGTCTTTAAAATAAGACAAAGATAAGCTCTCATCTTGCATTAAAATGTATTTGTCAGCATAGTTGCATAATAATTGATAAATCATCAGATAGTTTCAGCCTTACCACTCGTCAAATCTCAAAACCCACCCATCTACTAAGGATGCAGCAGCTGTCTAGATCAACAATCATTTCTGGACTTATCTCTTTTGATTGCTGACATGTAGTTTCTGCATGTGTGTACTATGTATGCATGGACTGAAATGTATATTTTAACATACACATTTGCATGTTTAAAACAGCGTGTGTGTAAGTATTTACATTCATCAAAAAGTGTGTGCTTATATACTTACATGTGTTTTTGTATAATATGCACAATCTTATTAATACTTTCCATGATTTGTCTGTTTATTTGTGTGTTAATGTTAAGAAGCTTGGTTGTTTTGACTTATTTGACTATTTATCTTCATGGAAGGGATTTAAGAGACTCAAAATTATTTGGATCCAGTTCTAACGTAATGGGTTTTTGTTTCATGAAAATGTGGCCTTTAGTTAATCTATAATCCTGCGGAAAAAAATAACAAACCAAAACCAAACTTCCTTGGTGGATGTAGTAATAAGAGCTTTATATGGCAGTAAATAGGGACCTAACAATATCTAAAATAGTTTTTTAATATCTCTCTCTTCCCTTCCAGATCAGTCCTGTGGAAGATGGCATGAAGAGCGTTCTTCCAGACTCTCTTCACATCTTTAACGCCATCAGCCGCACGCCAACCAGTGCCACCATCCACGGCATCCCCAGCTCTTCCTCTGTGGTATGATGCTGGTTGAGCCTTGAACTCAGCGCCCGCTATACTCGCCAACCAGGCCTGCTGGTGATGCCATATTGTCGCTTCTGACCCTGATCCTGCTTCTCTTCAGTCAGCTGAAGAGAAACTGTAAAAGGCACAGACCACTGACCACCTTCCTCGAGAACCATGACCAAGGCACTGGACCTACTTTATGTATTCATATATCCACGGCTGGTCACTGTGTTGGAGGTCTGTGACAGTACTGAGGTGAAGCCTGAGGGGCTTGCAGGACAGACTTTGTTCCTGTTTTATGGACAGACATATTGTGTCACCTATTTCTACCTGAAAAGACTGTGCCGTGTTTCCAAGGAGACATTCCGGTTGGGACCTTTAACATGCATGTCTTTACATTACACCCACCACCCTCCCAACAGTCCATGTTATGTTTATTTTGATAATGTTTCACATGTGTTTTTTGTATGTACAGTATTCCACTTTTATATACCACTGTATGATGACAGTATATGCTGCGTCATCACTCCTCTCCTTGTACATGAAGTTATATTTCTACTAAAAGGGCCTCCTATGACACGTGTTAGCGTTCAACCTTAAATCACTTCAATGTCTTAGAACGGGGCATTTTTAAATATTTAAAGCCATTGCAAACAAAATAGTATATTCCACAATGTTTATTAATGTATATAAAAAAGGAGTGTGTGCAATATTTGTATCTTGCTGTGTGGGGCTCATACACTGTAAAGATGATGTTCACCTTCTTGCCAAAGCGATGAGGTGTGGATACAACACTACGCCTACTGTGGAAGTAATAAGAAGCTTTTACCATTTTAGTGTTTATTGAAATGTTCAAGAAATTGTTTTATATTTGGACAGCAATGGGTTTTTTAATTTTATTTAACACAAAGTCACTGTTCTGCTGTAAACAGAGATGTACCCTAATGCTTTTCTTTTAAATAAAACACACTCATCTCTCTGCACTTGTTTTCATGAAATCTGACTTTATTTCCACTTGCATTAAAGTGTGTTCTTGCATTTGTTTTGGTTGAATTGTGGAGTTTTTATGAGGTGTCAGTTATGGAACATAGCTCACTTCCTATCTCCTATATCTCATTTTCCCACCTATGGTTCCCACCCATCATAAAAGCAACGCAGTCAGCAGAGTGGACGACAGATCAAGGTGCTAATAAGAAGCAATATTACGGAAACACTCCCACAGTGAGGGATCAATTGTCAACTGCTCCCTGCAGGTATTCTCAAAGGGATTTTAAACTGCAGGGCAGCCGTTTCACTCAAACATCATGGCGGGTGGGTTTGCAAACATTTGTTTTTGTGAATTTCCATGGTCGCCCTCAGAAATATGTTAAATTGCAGAAGCTTCCGACACCCGAGGGGCAAGTCAGAACGAAACCTGTCGAAACCTTTGAACTGCAGCTGTATTGTTTTCTCAATTTCAATCTGAAACATTGGGGAAATTGATTTGTTTTAAATTATAAAATGAAGGCTACTGCAGCCCTCACTTTTTGAGAAATGAAGCTGGTTATTAAAGCTAGTTCAATCTTGTCAACAGATAACGAGGATCCTAAGAAAGGAAGGAAGAACAGAGGAACGGTAATGTACTTAATCTTTTTTATTGGTCATTGATGCAATTATTTGTGGGGTTTTTTGTTCCGTAAATCTAAATGATAATCTATAGGAACAAAGCAACCATCTCAATATGCCATTACAGTAGGTTAGTGAAAACCAAGCACTACTTAAGTAATTTGTGTATTTGTTTTCACAAATGCAAGTTTAATCTGTAACATTTCGGATGAAAATGTTGTGCTTTTGCTCCACTTCAATTATTTCTACAGCTAGTACTATTTTTTTTAAAGCATTGAAATTTAGCTCCAACTCAATTAACTAAAGCAATGGAATGATGCTTACATGTTAATGCATTTATAATGTGGATCCAGTAATATAACATAACAGTGACAGGGGTCATGCTAAATGAGCCCATTTAATTGTATACACAAAGTACATTTAGTTGACAATTTTGTGCTTTAACTTTTCACTTTTTTAAATATGTAATGTATTTGTTCTTGCTGTGGTATATGATTTATTAAAAAAAAGATGTCCACCATGCTGAACACATGCTGCTGTTTGTTTGATCCATCAGAGCAAAGAGGTGTGTGGTTACCCGCTCAGCATCTTCTTCATTGTTGTGAATGAGTTCTGCGAGAGGTTCTCCTACTATGGCATGCGAGGTGAGAAAACTACGTCTCAGAGCGTTGACCATGTGACTATTTTTGTAACCATGACTACTTATTTTAAACCAAACCACAATTTTTCCCTCAACTTAGCCAGACTTTAATGAGAGCGTTGTCCCAACAGAAAACTGCTGTATTTTTTAAAAGGGATTCGAAAAAACATAATACATTTGTTTTGAGTGTTTGGATATTTGCTACATTGAAAAACAAGTTATTTACTCAAGTAACATTTTGAAGGTAATTTTACTTACTTGAGTATTTACATGTTCTGCTACCTGATACAGTACTTCTCCACTTTATTACAGGGGCAAACTCTGTACTTTGTACTACAGTGTATTCATTTGATAACATATGTGATGAGTTGCTTCTAGGATTCAGATTACAATTATATAAAATATAATCATAAAAAATGATATCATATAAATAAAACTTCCTATAAAGTAAAATATATTTATTTTTAAAAAAAGAATGATCCCACATTATTACATATTAAGGTGATGTACACATTACTGCATCAAAAATCATAATCTGATGATATGTTTCGACATTCTTTTTAAAAGGGCTATTGTAAAATTATAATTTTAGTATACAGGCAAATAGTTTTTTGTTGGTGCTAACATTCTTTTAATTTGTGACTTTAACTTGTAGCACAGTACACAGTTTTTTTTACCTGTGCTGGACTATGGTGATTTGATGTATATGAATGCACCTGCCAATTGCCTGGTCAAGTTAGATGCTGCGTATCACAGTGCACTGAGATTTGTGACAAACTGTAAAGCATTAACCCATCACTGTACCCTGTATGCAAGGGCTGGTTTGCTTTCACTAACTGTACGGAGGCTCAGTCACTGGTACATTTTTATATACAAAGCCATGTTAGGGAAACTTCCATTTTATATCTGCTCCCTGATCTCACGGAAAATTGTAAGTGGCTACTGCCTGAGATCGAATGCTGTGGTTTTATTAAATGTGCCAACTGCTAGGACTGGCTTAGAGAAGACAGCTTTTAGATGCGCAGCTCCTCTGTCTTGGAATAGTCTGCAAATTAAATGGAAACTGAGCAATCTGGTGCCACTAAATGTTTTTAAAGCTCGGTTGGATGCTAGTCAATCGGAAGCTATTGGTACCTGTTTATGTGGATAATTATGTAAATGATGCTGTATGATGTCCTTTTGTTGTTCTATTTATGCTTTTATGTTTCATGTGGAACTACTTGAGCAGGTATCCCTTGAAAAAGAGATCAATGATCTCAATGGGATTTATCTGTATAAATAAAGGTTTGAAATTAAATGAAACAGTATTTGTACACCGTGGTATAGATACTTTTATTCAATTAAATATCTAAGTTATTTTTCTGCCACTTGATGTTTCATGCACAACATGACCAGATATGTTTTAGAGCTGACCCTGTGCAGTCTTATCGTGTTGCATTGTGAAATAAGAAGAATCGCACCTACCTGTCCACAGCTGTACTCGTGCTGTACTTCAAGTACTTCTTGCTCTGGGACGATGACTTGGCCACCTCCATCTACCACGTCTTTGTGGCCTTCTGCTACCTGACCCCCATCCTCGGGGCCATTGTGGCTGACTCCTGGCTGGGAAAGTTTAAGTGAGTTTAAAAAACGTGTCATTAAACCTATGCAAGAAATCAGTGGATTACTATCTATCAGTGGTGGAAAGGGTCTAACTAGTACTTTAACTAAGTAAGAAATGGGTGTACTTATACTTTACCTGAGTATATACATTTTTCTACTTTGTAATTCTCCTCCACAACATTTTAAAATAGTGCACTTTATAAAAAATATTGTTTAATTAGGGCTTCTTGCTACTTTTAAAATTGCTATGAGTTGTGTTTCACATTTCAACTTCTCATTGAATAACTTTTCAATTCAGTTAATAAAGAAGAAAGACAAATTGCAATCCTTAGGTTTAAACCCTAGACTTAACTAAGTAACTTATTAAGTAGCTAAACCTAATACAACTAGTGGGTTACTACTATGCACTAACTCCACGGCTGCTTGTCTTTCCATCTTCTCTTTGCAGGACTATCATCTACTTGTCCATTGTGTATGCGATCGGCCAGGTTACAATGGCTATCAGTGCAATCCATGACATCACTGACTACAACAAAGACGGGACACCAGACAACATGACCTTTCATGTGTGGGTTTCTATTCAACTACACAACATATTAAGTACAGGATGTGGGATTTTGGCAGGCAAATATTACTCACATATTTCTATGGTACTCTCTGCTGTACATATTCCTCTTCACATTTAGCGTGCTGTCCATGGTGGGTCTCTTCCTCATCGCTCTGGGCACTGGTGGCATTAAACCTTGTGTTGCTGCCTTTGGTGGAGACCAATTCGGTAACCATCAGGTTAGAACACTTCTCCTTCTCCACTAATGTTTAACTCTGGCCTTGACGATGACAATGTTCTTTATTGAATGTCATAGATTTGAGAATTAGATGAAACAACAGCTTAGGGTGGTGTGTGTGTGTGTGTGTGTGTGTGTGTGTGTGTGTGTGTGTGTGTGTGTGTGTGTGTGTGTGTGTGTGTGTGTGTGTGTGTGTGTGTGTGTGTGTGTGTGTGTGTGTGTGTGTGTGTGTGTGTGTGTGTGTGTGTTGTGTGTGTGTGTGTGTGTGTGTGTGTGTGTGTGTGTGTGTGTGTGTGTGTGTGTGTGTGTGTGTGTGTGTGTGTGTGTGTGTGTGTGTGTGTGTGTGTGTGTGTGTGTGTGTGTGTGTGTGTGTGTGTGTGTGTGTGTGTGTGTGTGTAAGGAAGGAAGGAAGGAAGGAATGTATTTTAATTCCTAAAACCAAGTTTTGGATGACATGATGCTGGTCTGGTCCATCCCTTCTTGATGCTGGTGACTTTAATGCGCCCAAATCAGGAAATTCCTGCAGTCAAGTGGCTTTGTGAGGAATGCAGGTGTCAGGTTTTGACAAGGAAGCTACTGCTACTTGATATATTTTATCTTATTATTTGTCTGCAAAAAATGGGGCAATCAGTGCAATGCTGAATCAAAGCTGCCCAAAGGTCTATAATTGAGTGCACTAAATGTTATGACAAACCTTCCAATAGTTGTGTCAAAATTACAAATTACAAATTCATGCTAGTACCAAATTAATAGTCATCAAATTACCAAATTCCCTTAGTATTTGTCCTCTGGAGAAATGTCTGTACAAAATGTCAGTACAAACCATCCAATAGAGATACCTCGGTCTGGACATTGCCGTCCCTAAAGTGTTATCAGTGGCAGCTTATAATTTCTTCTGGTTTAATCATTTAATATCATAAACAGATATAACATTTGAAAGATGTTACACATTGTATAAAGAACATCCATGCAACACATGAAGATCACTGACATTTCTCTGTGCAGGAAAAGCAAAGGAGAACTTTCTTCTCTGTATTTTACCTGTGCATCAATGGTGGGAGTCTCCTGTCAACCATTATCACTCCGATCCTGAGAGGTAGATATGAACAGATCCTAAAGTTTCTGAGAAACCATAAACATGAGTGCATTTGATAACATCTAATAACAGTCCTTGAGTATGAGTGATTTGAACTGTAGTTTAATGATGGTTATATATCTGCAGCTCAGGACTGTGGCATCTACAGTAAGCAGAAGTGTTATTCTCTGGCCTTCGGTGTCCCTGCAGCACTAATGTTGGTTGCACTTGGTATGTCTAAATGATTTAAAATCAGATTCTATACATGGCAAACTAGGCACTGATATTAATGAAGTGACTGTGATGCCCTTTACAGTGGTGTTTATCATTGGAAGTGGTATGTACTACAAAGCTGAACCACAGGGAAACATCATGGGGTCCGTGTGTAAATGTATCGGGGTGAGTCTGGTTTACAACATTTGCATTGAAACATTTTTGCATTCATGTATAACGACCGATGCTTTAGCTGTGTTCGAAAAAACAAACATATGTTATCCCTTTTTCAACTGTCAATCAGTTTGCCATTAAAAATCGCTACAAACACAGAAGCAAACAATACCCAAAGAGGCAGCATTGGATGGACTGGTCAGAGGAAAAATATGAAGTGAGTTGCATTTTAAAATGAGTTCTCTAAAGTGTTTTTTTCAGTGGGGTGAATTGCAGTTTATTTTCTGTCTGTATGTGCTGTAGAAACTCCTCATTGCTCAAATCAAAATGGTGCTGAAGGTCCTGTTTTTATACATCCCACTCCCGATGTTCTGGACCCTGTTTGACCAAAAGGTAAATTACTCTTGTTTTTTAAAAGGCAACATCAATTATAGGCTGTGGAAACTGTGCTAAGCTCTGCATCTCTATTAAAGGGTTCAAGATGGACTCTGCAAGCCACCAACATGGATGGAAACTTTGTACGTTTGGTGATAAAACCGACTACTGATATATTTGAGTTAACTAAAGCAATGTGACAATGTTTTGATGACATATTTTGTTTCTGCAGGGTCTTCTTGTCATACAGCCTGACCAGATGCAGGTGAGATAAAATGATATTGTCATGTAAGCTCGGACAGATGTACTACGCCTTTTCTTTTTTAAAATCTCTTTAAAATGTTTTGAAAGACTGTCAACCCCATCCTGATCCTGACTCTGGTGCCGATCATGGACAGCCTTATCTACCCTCTGATCAAAAAATGTGGTCTAAACTTTACGTAAGTACTGCTTTAACTCAGATTGTGGACATTCGTTTACAATAGTCAAGTCTAATCTAGTTGTCATCTTGTTTTTGGATAAATAAAATGTATCTGTTTTGGAATACCCCCATTTTTTATTTCTTCTACCAGTTATTTGAGGGAACAGTTTTAGCATTTAGGTATCAATGTTAGCATTTCATAAAATGTCAAACTGTTCCTTAAACTGAAGGACTAAGCCGTGTTATACACTCTTCAGCTGTGAAGGCTGTTCAGCAGCAAAGTGTGTATTCAAACACTCAGCAGGAAAAGCTAAAAATGATACCTCGATATAAGACCAGTGGAACTGCACCTGCATCTGAATCAGGTCTAACAATATCCACGATAGTGTTAACATTTTAGAAATTACTGTCATACATAGTTTTTATGCATGTATAAATATGGAGACCTTTGGTGCTGTAGTTATCTCATATTTTGTGCAATTATTGACAGGATTTATTGTTAATTCAACAGACCTCTGAAAAGAATGACAGTAGGGATGGTAATGGCAGCCATAGCATTTGTCTGCGCTGCTGTGGTTCAGCTTCAAATCGATGTAAGTAGAAAACAGATATTGTGATAATCTGCTCATATACTGATACATTACCCATACGTTTAGGGATTAATTTATTTCAAACTCACTTAATTTTCAGATAACATACCCTACCTTCCCGTCAGCGTCCGAGAGTCAGTTGAAATTAATTAACATGGGCAGTACTCCAGTCACTTACTTGTTGCCTGGCAACGGACCTCTGGTACTTCCTGCAGCTCAGGTATGTCCTCATACAAAAACACAAATTGAGACATTTTGAAAAGTTGCATGAAAGTCAAAACAACATGTTTATGCATTCATATTTGTACACATATTATATCTATTGTTTTGCAGGCCAGCCAGAACTTCTTTACATTTAAAGAAGATATTATCAGTGTTAAAATTGTCGGCCCTGAAGTGACAAAAAGTATACCCTTGGTCAAAGGAAAGCGACAAAAGCTTCTCATTCCTGCAAATATCAATGACAATTGGCTGTTGGTGAGTTAGAATCACAACATAGGTCAAAGCAAACATGATGACTTTAAATGGTTATGATAATCAACATCAATTTTTTTATTTCCTCAGATTGACGCTTTGAATTCCAAGCCACAACAAGGCAACAATGCAATCCGGTAAATTTAATTTCAAATGTTTATACTTTAACAATGAATTGATCAGTTGACCAACAGTATGAGTCATTTACTTTTTTCATAATCAATCAATTGTTTCAGGCTCTTACCTGGTAAACATATTTACATTTAGAGAGTTTCAGACAGTACATTCTTGAAAAAAATGGGATTACACTGCTGTAGTTGTTTTTTAATTCTGACCCATTATGTACCCTTTTCAGATTTATCAATGGAATGAATACAACATTGAATGTTTCAACGGCTGGAGCTGACTTTGGACTTATTGAGCCATTTTATTTTTCCAACTACTCCCAGATAAAATATGGAAAGTAAGGATTTTAACATATTGACAATTCACCACTGTTTTTATATAATTTAATGCAAATTACAATATCGTTTATTAACCAGATTTTTTTTCTTCTAATGAACAGAGCCATCTTCACCTTACAGAGTGGTTCACAGTCATGTGAATACAGCAGGGACTTTGGATTTGGAAGTTCATACACATTCTTTATCCCCAGCACTTTAGTCATTGGACAAAATGTAAGTTGCATGATTTTTAACACTGGTGATATTCTATATTTATCTTAAATCAACAAATCCCTTAAAAATAACATCAGTGAAAATCTAGAAATCCCAGCTGTTTTGGGGAAATGTTCCATATAAACAATATAACTTAATTTGTGTTGCCTGTGTTTAAAGATTTAGATTTACCCCAATCCATCAGAGATTCTTCCTACTGTACCTCACCGCATTCAAAACATCACTCAAAACCCACCTGTTCAACACTGCATTCAACTGCTGACCATCCCCCCCCCCCCCACACTATTTTCTGTTTTGTTTATCTCTTTTGTATTTTTCTTAGTTTTGTTTTTGTTGTTTTTTATTCTCAGTCAAAGCGTCTTTGAGTGTCTAGAAAAGCGCTATACAAGTATCATGTGTTTATTATTATTATTATTATTATTATTATTATTATTATTATTATTATTATTAATAAGAAGGTAGACATTGGGCTAAGTGCCACAGTCAGACACGGTCTGGATGGATGGTTCATTATTGGTGTTGGTCTTTTCATGGGATGTTCTTAATAATAGTACAGCAAAACAAAGGATGAAACACCCTATTACAAATTGTCATGTATATTGTCATGTGTTCGCTTTGGCAAAAGATGCAAAAATCCATCCAGCTGCCTTCTTTTTAGTCTCACGGGTTGAGAAACACGGCCCTCAACTGACCAATTGTGATTATTTATTTTAGTGTCAGGGGGCGATTACTGAATCAGAAGACATCGAGCCCAACTCAGCTCACATGGCTCTCCAAATCCCACAGTACTTCTTCATAACTGTTGGTGAAGTGATGTTTTCGGTTACTGGTCTGGAGTTCTCCTACTCACAGGTAAAATTGTTAGAAAGCACATTTTCACACTTTATTTCAGGAGTTATTGTATGACAGGGAAAATTAGAAGTGGGATTTGAATTGTATAATTAATAGTTTTCCATTCTTTGATTATGGTTTTATTTAACTTGTGTTTGTCTTTTGTTTTTTTAAGGCACCTAGTAACATGAAAGCAGTGCTGCAAGCAGGCTGGTTGTTGACTGTTGCTGTCGGCAACTTCATTGTACTGATTGTAGCTGAGCTTGCAAAGCTTCCTAAACAGGTAAAAATCGAACATCAAACTTAGAGATATTTTTAGTGGGCATGTCTTGGATTTGTTCCATGTATTGACAATAACAAAGGATCATGGATCATTAACGTGTATCCTTCTGCTTCTCTCCTCCTCTTTCAAAGTGGGCAGAGTACGTCCTGTTTGCCTCTCTCTTGATTGCAGTGTGTTTCATCTTTTCCATCATGGCGCATTTCTACACCTACATTGACCCTACAGAAATTGAGGCCCAGTTCATGAAGAAGGTTGATGAAGATGATGACGATGATAAAAGTCTAAAAAAGGCAGAGATAGAGATGGTCAGGAAAGACTCAAATAAAAGTGACAAAGATGAAGATGATCCAGGCAAACGCACCAAAATGTGAACAGTGTAAAAAGCAGATAAGACATAATGCACTTATATCTGACATGTACTGTAACATTGACACAAATATATAAAACCATTCTTTTAGCTGTGTGTGTGTGTGTGTGTGTGTGTGTGTGTGTGTGTGTGTGTGTGTGTGTGTGTGTGTGTGTGTGTGTGTGTGTGTGTGTGTGTGTGTGTGTGTGTGTGTGTGTGTGTGTGTGTGTGTGTGTGTGTGTGTGGTCTAGCATTACTATACTTGTGGGGACCTACATCTGTTTACATAGTCACGTGTGGGGACTGGCTTCCCTTATGGGGACAAATTGGAGGTCCCCATGAGGGGAATCATTAATTTTAGGGTGAAGACTTGGTTAGGTTTAGGGTTAGGGTAAGGTGAAGGGTAAGGGTTAGGGTTAGGCATGTGTTGGTTATGGTTAAGGTTAGGATAAGTCTCCAGGATATGCATGTAAGTCAATGTAATGTCCCCTGAAGTGATGTATACGTGTGTGTGTGTGTGTGTGTGTGTGTGTGTGTGTGTGTGTGTGTGTGTGTGTGTGTGTGGTGTGTGTGTGTGTGTGTGTGTGTGTGTGTGTGTGTGTGTGTGTGTGTGTGTGTGTGTGTGTGTGTGTGTGTGTGTGTGTGTGTGTGTGTGTGTGTGTGTGTGATATGAGGCATTCAAAGTTATTTAGTATTATATCCAGTAAAATCACATAATGTCTGCCTATAGTATTAACTACAGATGAACCATTTACATATCATTGGATGAACTTTCTGTTTTATATTTATGTAAGTTGTGTTCAGGTAAGCAATAAAAAATAAATCCTGTTTAAATGTTTTCACAATTCTTGTCTTCATCTTTTGCCCAAAAAACGATGTAAATATTGAGCATTATTTCAACTTTGACATCACATCTTCAGCTTAGATCTTACAGCTATATAAGACGCATGTTTTGGCTAGTACAGATCTCTGATTACGAGACAAAAATGAATGCATTAAAACATGTCAGGCCAACATTTATCTTTATTTGAGTGTAAAGTTCAATACTTCATCTTCCACGTTGTAGTTTGACAACATTATCTTAACTCAATATCCATTTCCCATATTTGTATGGATCTTTCAACATGTCCTCATCAGTGAAGTGTACTCAATTTACTGTAGTGTAGACTGTTGCTTTTCCCCAAAAAAAATCAAACTACCACAACGAAATTGACATGCAGTGAACTTTAGGCCTTTGGGGCTCCAGGACAGCTGCTTGGTTTGCCCAGTTGTTAATAAAGCCTTACCCATAATAACCACTGCATTTGGTTGCCAAACATTGTGTTTTACAAGTATACATATTAGACTTGCATCCTTGTAAATGTTAGGAACCACACCTATGTGAACTTCATCCACCCTCTTTGTTTTAACTGTTTTATTGTATCATGTATAATCCAAATCATTATCTTTTAACCAAACACAAGTCGACATATCGACAAAAATACAGGATAAGCCAAAATCTTAAAGGCTACCAAGGAGTGATGCGGCAAATAAGCTACATTATATTTACGGTTTTACATATTTCGATCCCATTATCATCTCTTAATCCATGTGATTTCACAATACAGTGACTGATTTATATTTAGACTTGCTGTATGATTGGATTTTTTGGTCAGGACAATTAAAAAAAATGTATAACATATTTTCCACAAAAAGTAAAGAGGTTCAAAGGCAAAAGTATTTTACAATCAATAAGATTGTCCAGTACATATATTTTGTTTTACTAAGTGAATGATTACAAAAATTATTGAATACATACATTCAACGTTTTGTATGCTGATGATTTTCTTTTGATGTGGTATCGAATAATACCTGACCATGCTTGGAAAAATCTTCTTTTATTTAAGACTTTTCTTTTTTGTTATTGCATGCCTATTTTGACTGCTTTGCCACTTTTGCTGTAACAGTTTACATTTCCCCGCTGTGGTACAAAGTTCTGATTCTGAAGTCAAATGGAATTTAGTACAAAAATAAAAAATATACAGACAAACATACATTCATAAAAACGTCCTTCTTCCCGTGACGCTTTTTGATTAACGCATGACGACATAATGTACTCTCTACTCTGATTGGTCCTCCGGGAAATGAAAATGACATTAACCAAGATGGCGCTGGGCGACAGAGAAAAGTGATGAGAGAATAGAACAACAAGCGATAGAACTAAAAAAAAAGGGTGCATTTATTTACCCTCTGCGACTTTTTTTTAATCAAAGCTCTATTTGATCATCGGTACACAGTACAGCAACTGTCGAGGGACCGCACGGGTCTACAGATATATAATTATTCCGCTAACTGTTTGCTAACTAGCTGCTAAAGTAGCTAGCGTAGCTAACGTTCGCATAACTGCGGAAGAGAAGCTCGAAGTACAAACCGACGAGCTGTTTTATTATGATCAGGCGACTCTCCGTTTGATACATTCACTGTCCTTGATAGAGTTTGCATCACATTTAACCCAGGGGTCGGTCGGAAAACTATTATCAGATCAGGAAAGCTGAAAAAGACGAGGAAAGGCGTCATCTTTGCTGATCTGACGCCATGGCTCTCTCCACTATTCAGAGTGGACTGACGGGGATTCAGGTAAATGACATGTTTTTATATTATAAGCTAACTTTCCGAGTCAAGTTTGTTTGGTTCAGAGCCAGCCGACATTTTACTTTACGGAAGTTTAACTCGATGCCTGTAAACAACTTTATCTACGGGAACACTGTATCGTTATCAAGATGAACACTATCTCTTGTGGTATAATAAATGCACCTATTTGTCAAAGTCCATTATGAACGAATGTGATAAGAAGCCTGACACCTTGTTTAATCGTGTGTTAAATCTAACGTGTACTGAATGACTGAAGAGCTGTCAAACCACAGGTATACAGTCTATTCAGGCTGAGTTTACTCCTAATTTATTAACATCATTCACTGTAGGCTAAAATGCAGTTAAAGCACAAGTTGATACATCCAACTATTTAGTCCATATTCACTGTTTTAATTTGACCAACAGTGCAAAACTGTTAATTATACAGTTGATTCCAATTTAAGGCAAGGGAAATAACACATGATCAAGTTGAAGTAGCTGTAACATCCATTGTGTGGCCTTTCAGTTTAAAAAATGCTACACAATTTTCTAAATAGCTGCCTTCTTTAACTGTCATCAACTGAACTGACGCTTCACTGCCAGTACTTGGTGAGTAATGTCATGAGTCCTGCTTGTCATCTGTTACAGAGCACTCTACATATCACACATATTGGTATGAAAGTCACTGTCATTGTTGATTTATCTGGGGATCACTTTGTCACTCAATCAATGACTTGTTTGGGGCATGAAATAGTGGAACCCATTCCATTTAATGCTACAACTAATGACTTTATTATTATTATTATTATTATTATTATTATTATTATATTAAATACAATAGTAAAGACTCTACAATGATATTAAACAGCCTGTCTTCCAGTTTGAGAAGCTAAAACTATTTTGAATGACAAACTAATTAAATCATTCATTAATTATGAAATAGTTGTCATTTAATAATTGATCCACACATTAAAGGGGCTAATGATATCAGATGACCTCTTATAACATCATCAGTTTACTATCAGAAGAAAATAGTTGATGATTAATATGATGTTGATTGACAGGTCAGGTATATTAAATGAGAATAAGCTCTAGTTTTGAGATTGCAGCTTTTGGCAGTTGTTTAAGAAAGTCATTGTTGTGTTGGCTAATTGTATTTCCGTTTTTTGATAGTATTGTGTTCAATTTAACATATATGTTTTTAGTTGAACCAGCCTGGCCTGTTTGAAGACATGAAGTAGGCCACACTACATCCCATGTAAGAATGACAACCTTGTCTGGCGACCTAACCAGTCACATGCATGATTATTCTATTGATTGCACACAATACTACTCTTTCTCTTAAAGGATGAATGCTTCTTTAGCACATGCACAGACACACACAGGTTCAGAGGAGGAACAAATAGACCTGAGGTTACTTTTCTTAGAAGTGTTTGCACTTGGGATGTGGTGTGTGTGTGACGCTACACTACTCAGTTGTGTGTTTCAGATGGAGAGCATCAAAAACATGCTTTGAGAGCGAGGTTCAGGCAGCTTTAGTTGTCGCAGTAAACCTGCTGACTGTGGATATGGCAAGTACATTCCCATCATGTGTAGTCCGTGGGCGCAGCGCCCTTGTTGTTTTTCCCATTGTTTCACGTCAGCCTCGACATTATAATGTTCACCTGGATGACTGACCACACCAGTGTTATGATAGTATTTTGGTGGTGTTGTTCCAACTCTGCTTTATTCTGTGCCGCTCTGTCTCTTTGTTGTAAAGTCCCTTTGCTATCAAATCAGCAGCCACCTCTTTGCCAATTTTTCAAAGTGCAGCTGCTCTTCCCCCCTTCCATATAGGTTTGACCACCATTAGCACTTTTACAGGAAACTGTTCTCTGGGGGGCTGTACAACATTATACTGCACCCGCCAACAGATCATGGTCTTAGTGCTAGATTACCTGGCAAATCAAACTTTGGGCTTAATTGCTATAGTTCTTTATTATTAAAGCTACTGCAACATTTGTTTCATTTACATTTTTCAGATAATCTTCATAATATACAGTTTGATGCGGTATTAAAAATGCTACTCTTTTTCAGAAGAGACTGTGCATTACATTTGTCTTAGAAATGTTGGCAATGCAAACACGAATAATTGTTCTGCATGAAGTGAAATTGAACCGGCCAACATGAAGACCATTACACTCTCCCCAGTGCTCCACGGGGAAATAGGCCATTTATTTCAGTCAATAAGTTAGGGTGTAGTCCTTCAGTGTCTGTGTAGCCTGTGTGGTGGAGGTCATTAAGCTAAGTTGGGTTTGTTTTACATTATCTCAGGATTTAAGTGTTTCTCACAGCCACACAATCTGCTCTGAAAAGGCAGAAAGATATTAGAAAGAGTTTGAGTTGATTGCATCGTGGAAAGGAACCAGTGGGTTT